TTTTAAAATGTGCTATTTTTAGTAACAGATCGATATTGAAAAGGGCGGACCTAGGTAGGACTCATTGCAGTGTGAAAGTTAATATCAATCTATTTTGATTCCGTGGACAATTTAATAGATTAGCTCACACATTTTTAATACATTTTGACCTTTTGACGTTTCATTTTTGTTAAAATAGGAGTGAATCGTGTATGTGTTGTCAGTGTGAGATAAGCCCATGTGAGATAAGATTTTCAACACTGCTATTTTTAGTAACATTTACGGATTTTTCTATCTGGTTAGTGAGAAAGTGTATTCTGGTGTCTAATACAAATGGAGAATGAGTAGTGGTATAACAAAGCTCTCATTTGTTATATTTAAAGTTTATTGGGCGGTTGTAAAATTTAGGGCTGCAGAATTTTCCCTGATTCATCTGATGTAAGTCTGACTCACAAATACATGTATAGAAAATGCCTTAAATTCTAAAAATAGATGTAAAATTTGAAATTAAATTAGAGATTTTATTAGATCTGATGTTTATTTCTTTACAAATTTAAAATGAAGGCTTTTTTATAAGCTAGATACATGAATTGTCTAAACTTTGCCAATTAAATCTTGGCAAGAAAGATATTTAGGCCAATTCCTGGATAAAGATGGGTTTTTTGTTGCAATTATTCTGATAAGAAAGTTAAAACATGATTTAATTTATCTGAAAGAATTTTAACTTTTCCTGAACAAAAGTGAATGAATCAGAACAACTTGTGGTATAACGCTGCAGTAATTTGTGGTATTCTACACGAACAGATGGAAGTAATCAGTTGAGAGGGAAAGTCTAAGTTACTTCACTCTGACATCCCGTCTGCTAGTGCCAATAATTTATCTGGCAGGGCTTATAATAGTGCACTACAGTCTCATGTATACAACATTATAATATAGAGGATAGGTGTATAAACTGCCTTTCACTTGGAATACCTTTATATCTTATAGTATTTCAAAGTGGATCGGAATTTGAGCTGTAAAGTGTTAAACAGAAAATTATTTAAGGATTGTCTGAGAGTGTGTGTGTTGTTTTCATGAGCCTCAATTTTGAGGGATTTAGTGTAGTAGAAAACACAGAAATAAATGAAATATTTTCAAGGATTTCAGCAACAAAGATAAAATCTGATTGAGTGTTGAAGAAGTGTTCTATAAAAATTCTGATGTTTATTGGATTAAATTTGCCATAAATTGAATGAATAGGAAATAAGTGAATTCTCTTACCTAGCTTTTTGTGTAAAACTGTGATATAACCTGATATATATAATATAATCAAATAATAGAGGAATAATTGATACAAGTCTAGGGAAGGATAGAAATTTATTTTTGGTGAGTTTTATAAAGGATAATCCTATTTATTTATTTTTCATTTTGTCAATTTGATAAAATTTGTTAGTAAATCTTTTTAGAATATGGTTTTCCTAACACTGCCCGGGGGGGGGGGGGGGGGCTTTTAGTGATAGTTATGGACCCTGAGTTTTAGTGACTTGCCCCTTTTAGCTATGGAATTTTAATGCTGACATTGATAGATTTCTTTCATTTTAGATAGTATTCCTTCTTGCTTATGGAAGATTTTGTCTATTTCAACTAGTATAGATGCTATGTTATGACTCATCGCTTTCAGTGTTTTCAATATTAACATACATATGGCACCACTTGGACTGCATAAATATCTACAAAGAACTGTTACCATTTCATGATTTGATATGCTTGAAGTTCTGGTGTTCTTCCCTGAACATTTGAATTATGACCATTTTATACAGGTCAGTGAAAATGCCAGGTCAGCATATGCATCATGAGGAAACCTCATAACTTACAATATTCTGTCCCAAATTCAGTGCAGATCTGATATGTACATGGGCTAGTATAGAAATGTGTATGAAGGTAAATTATGCCATGTATGACAGGTGTCTGGGGGTAAATCAGGTAATAAAGTTATACAGTATACATGAAATAATAATACTATGTACATTAAATAGTGACTGTTTGGACAGGTTTGACTGTATCTTGTGTAGGAGAAGGAACCTGTTCATCACTCATCAGTATAGTGTTCCTACAGCCAAAGGTTCATCAGCAAACTTTGACTTTAAGATAAGTTTGTTTATATGAGAACTAATATTTAGCCTGCCAGTTTACAGGTTTGTTGACTTCACTGTTTACCTCTTATAAACATTCTATAAACAAAAAGATCTTCTACCTACATGGTTAACTTGTGAAGCTAACAGTGTTGTCAGATATACATATCAATACAAGATTTACCACTGAATCTACAATGTGCTTCTGAATAAACAGGAGAAATTATATACATGTAACAGCACAATGAATAAAAGATTAAAATACATGATGGAAATTAAAAGTCATTACCATGCATTCAAATTTATATTAATTGTCTACACCACCCTCCCCTCCACCCCAACCCTTCCAAAAAATCAGCATCAACAATTTGACATTCAACCTATATTAAATTGTTTAACATTTAGACATCTAATTAAAAGTGGTATATCTTTAAACAGTTTCTCATTTGATCAATATTTAGACAATCTAACAGACATTCTAATTATAAACAAACAGACATTCAACATAGCAATCAGACATTCTAATTATAAACAAACAGACATTCAACATAACAATCAGACATTCTAATTATAAACAAACAGACATTCAACATAACAATCAGACATTCTAATTATAAACAAACAGACATTCAACATAACAATCAGACATTCTAATTATAAACAAACAGACATTCTTTCTTGAAATAATCAAACATTCAACTTATCAATCAGACATTCAACTTGTAAATCAGACATTATGTCTATAAACAATCAGACATTCAACATAACAATTAGACATTCAACATATCATCATTCTATATATTTTAAAATGGTCTCTCTGTAAATAGCGGTAGACTTTGAGCCTTTTAATCAGACATGCTTTCTATAAACAATTTGACATTCAGCATCAATTGTTCTTGGTAGCTTGCCTGTATTGTTCATTCAAGGGTAAAGGAAGCCACCATACATACATGTGTACTGTAAGATAAGTTCTAGGAAAGTGTAAGATTACTGTATAATTATATATTGATCTGTCTTACATCTACCTGCTGAAGAAACTATGGTAACCATCATATACAAGAAATTTATATATTATATTGGGTGTGATATATACACAATAAAGTATGAGAATATTTATACATATTAGTATGATATAATATTATAGCATGGTTTCATTTATGCTGATGTTAGTTTAGACTATTGAGAGTTGTTGACATCATAATATTAATATATATTACTTATTGGAATAACCTGTATACAGTAGGTATTGACTCCACTTTTATATGACATTGTCTATTTTAGAGGTAATCCAAAATAAATTCCATCTTTTTATTTTAGTATTTTTTTCATGATAATGAACTTCAATGATCAAAGCAAAAGTTGCAATATATTTATGTTACTAGGATATCTTTAAATATCCATTGAAATATGATTAAGGTAACTTAAAATCTAATTAAAGAGATTAAATATTTATTTTTGACAGACATTTATTTTCTCTATCAGTTTTCCATCCTTAATGGTGGTTATACACAACACTGTATTTACTGTGGGGATTTAAATATCAAGTTACAATGAAAATATTCAACATATAGGAACTACTTTCTTCCAGCACAAAGTAGATAATTCACTAGGTTATCTGTGTTGGGTTATATCTTATCTATGGGTAATTTCTAGCACTACATGAGGTAAGGTAATCTAGTACTCAGATCAGTGCTGATAACATCTGCAACTCTCTGTCTCTCTTCTTCCTTCTGTTTATCTTCCATTAAAATAGTTTGAAGCTTTGAAAAATACATAATGGAAATTCCATACAAAATGTGAAACATGTTTTTGTGTAAGTAGTAAAGTTAAACTTCATAATTATTATGTATTTTATATGTTGTTAATTTTTTTTTTTCTTCAAGCATTTATCCCTTTACCTGAATTTCTTTAATTTATTTAACTTGTCCAGCTTCTATTTATGTAACTGTCTATTATCAGTGTTGACTGGCCTGGCTCATTACCTGATTCCATTGGTTACTTGTTTCAGCATCATTTTAACATAAGGTTATTTCAACATTAGCCTATAAAATTGATGATTGTAATGATATAAATTTAGTGTTCATACTTATACTATTAACTGTTAAAAGTTTGAAACAATACAGTCAGAGCAAAATTAGGTATCATTATCTTGGCTGCTTTTTACATGAAACTGTTGGGGGTTTTATTTGGTCTTTTCTAGTATATAATATTACAGGGAGAATTATTTTCAAAGAAAGTTTAATTTAATTGTTAGGAACTCTATAAATTTGCTGGGCATACATGCATATTGTATTGTCAAATGACATATACAAACTTGAAGGTTTTTTTTATTAGCTTATATTATAGGGAGAGCTGTCCTACTCACATAAGGACAGTGGTGTTGGCATCTGTGTCATCACTTAACATGATTTCCTATACCCTTTGATGTATATTTTGAAATTTTGTATACTTGTTAGTGACCACCATCCCCACTTCCAGGCAAGTGGATGTAACTCTGTTATGGATTTTGACAAAATTGTGCCCCTTTATTAAGAATTTTTATATAGAAGTTTTCTACTCACCAGGGTATCGGTGTAGGCATCTGTGTCATATCTTTGGTTAAGTTTTTCGTACCACCCACTAATTTCCTATACTCTTTGATGTATTTCTTTAAACTTTGTATACTTGTCAGTGACCATCAGCCCAACTTTCAGGCAAGTACTAATGTATTAGTTGATCACTATGTCTTATTTATCTAACAATTGTAAACCACAGATCTGTTTAGTTAGTTATCCTTCTGCATTATTATCAATGGAATATTGTGCATGTTGGGTGAATGTCAAGTTATGTGACATGATAAATATGCAAGAGGGTTCACACAGAAATAGTAAAACTTGATTAATTACAAGTGATTTGTTTGTTTGTTTTCAGGTGATACTTCAAAAGATTCCAGTATGGATATTAACATAGATAATATAGGTATGTCATATCAATATTTCTTCCAACCTGGCAAAATATCTCACATATTGTATTTGCTGACAGGGAGCTATGTTAGTATTGCGGCAACGTACACTATGTCATACCAGCTGACATATAAAATATAAAAAATCAGCAAAATCAGTAAAAAAAACTGAATTATTTGTTTAACATACATATAAGATTAAAATATATTTCATTTGTGAATACCAGCTATTCTATTTTCACTCGTGGCAATGTCACTCATGAAAATATTACATCTGGTGTTCATTCGGTAAAATACATTAAAATTTTAATTGCAAAACAAATAAATATCCTCTATGTAATTCCTTCGTTTCTAGATGTGTAAGGTGTAAGCAGAGACATAGTTGTCTCTGGTGTAAGGCAAAACATCGGAATATATTCTCACACATTTTGGTGTGTGAAGATGTTAATTAAGTTATACATGAAGCCCAATGGATCAAATCTGTGTATATATAAAGAAGCTGCATGGAAATATTACAGCTGTATAAGTTTAGATATAAACCACATGTCATTATAACATGCTATATGCATTAGATATAAAGCACATGTCATTATCATATGCTATATGTCATTAGATATAAACCACATGTCATTATAACATGCTATATGTATTAGATATAAACCACATGTCATTATAACATGCTATATGCATTAGAAGTCTGGAGTTACCAGAGACATTATTTCACGTAGCAACAAATTAATCCCCCACCACCTTTCAGATACAAATTGCTTAATATTGCTACAGTCTATAAATTGATATGTTTAAACTACATTTGGTGTTCAACATTATTTTGCCATTCAATGAAATTACTCCAATTTTAATTTAAATTGCCCCTATGATTTGTAAATATAGGCCTGCAAATTTGGTTTCTTAATTGTCTCTCTCTCACCCTGGTATATGAAGATCATTGAAAGCCATATACGGGATAGCTACTTTCTATGCCTGAAAGAGCAAATGAACCTTCATTAACATACATTACTTGTACTGTGATAAGTCACCCAGATAAAATCCCAAAGTGGCTGAGGTATGAGGTATCAGCCACTGTTTATTCCTGCTTGATTGTAACAGGCAACTAAATGAGATTGAATAACTCCCGTCTATGCATCTCTTACCTCCAGCAGGTGTGATGTTTTTGACCCCTGGTGTTGCTCTGAAGATGGTATAACCAGAGGTTGGCCAAAATCATCTTTCCTGTGTCAGAGTCATGTGACCTTAACTGTGTTGATCCGCCATAAAACCAAACCAACAAGCAAAAAAAAAAAACAGATATAAGTCAGTATTTATAAAGTGAAATGTTAAAATTTAGAATCCATGTTCAATTGCTCCCTCTTTAGGATTCTTAATTAATTAAATCATCTTATAAACACTGACATATACATGAAACATTAACATAACTGAATGTACACACATAATAGAATTGAAGTCACCTCTCTTCATTTGACATTTGTATACTGTAAAGCATACCATTTTAAGTTCTGATATACAAGGGTTAGGGTTAGATTTTATTGTGGTTTAGTAAAATTTAATTTCACCTCACAAGGCTTGAAATCCTTTAGGACTTATTATGATGACAATGAAATGTTTTGTTGTGTATAAAAGGGAGGAGGTTAAAAACAATATATTGTCTGTGTTATACATTAACATAACTGTGTATGTAACACACAATAAATACCTGTAGAAAATGTTGGCATAATGCCAAATACTCTAAAACAGTTCTGCCACAAAGTAATGGCTGATGTTTTCAAACAATCCTGATTGTAGAATGTTCAGTTTTTTCTTATTGACTAAAAGTTAAATTCTCCATTGATGAGAAATCACAGATATTTGTCTGCCATTCCAAAGTGATTAAAATAGAGAAGGATATGTACAGTTTTAGATCTGTATACTTAAGATGTCCTAAATAAACTAAACACTAAAATCTCGTATACATTTAGTTTTATGTCATTATTATTTTTTAGAAGAAAAACACACTCACCAATAACAACAACAACAACTAAGTGGGTTGCTAGCATTCTGAATTGTGCAACAATTATGTTGTAAATGAATATTGTTGTAAAGTTTTAACATCTGGATCATCAAAAAAGTTGGGTCATTCGTTCTACCAAGAAACAAGGTCATGTCTGAACTGTTTATTTTCTTTATGACTGTCCAGTGGATTTTACCCCATAAAATATATAAAATTATGTAAAAAATATTCAATTTGTGAATTTCTGAAAATATGCTCTGATTTTATGATTTGACACTTAACCATTTATAACTAATATGACAAACTTAACATATTGTAGAATTGTACATAAGACCATTTTATATTTTAGATCTCATGGATGTACCAGGGTATACACCAATAACTAAAAGTACTCCAGTATGGAAGAGGGACATGATAGAAAAGAAAAATCAGGAAAAAATACAAGAATATATTGTAAGATGTTGTACTGTTTTATTCTAAATACATGTATCTAAAAATAGTCTTGTCCATATTTCAATCTGGACAAAATCATTCATCATTGTAAAACTTCAAAATATGTTCTGATGGAAAGCAAAGAGTACTGACCATGAAGAGACATGTATAAATAATACTCATTATTTTCAGTTGGAGATATTGGTTTGTAGATTTTCGAAGATAATAGTACAAGTAAAAAAGCAGTCAATTTGTAAAGATATTTATGCCTACTACCATTAAACATTCACTTTATAAATGATGTGAAAATCATGTAGAATATTCTCACAAGAAAAGTTGATATAATTTTTATTAGGAAGATAAGAGGAGAGAGAAAGAAGAGGCTGAGAAATGGAAGAATGTTCCTGCCTGGAAGAGAAAGTTAATGATGGAGAAAGCCAAGGAACAATCACAAAAATCTAAAGAGGAACAAGAAAAGGTATGTTTATAATACAGCTTAGTGTTGTTGATTCATAGGCTGCCGTTTTACAAGGGAAAGTTTTACTGTAAAATCAGTCTTTAGTCGCACATAACATGTTATTAGTTGAATCTTTTTACTTTTCTTAAAAACTTAGAACATTTTCTCAAGTTTGATTGTCTTGAAATATTTTGGCTCATCTGTAGACATGCAGCTTTAAAGAATGATTGATATTCAGATAAAAAATGATTATATTTATAAAGGTTTAATCTTCTATAAGAAGCTATTCATGTTTATATTTACTGTTTATTTGACAGAAAAATGTTGGATGGACTTTGTCAGATAGATTTAGAGCATTCAAATGCATGTAAAATATCCCAAAACTAACATCTCCAGTTTTATACATATGTTTTAACAAATTTGTCTCTTTGTTTGACAATTTTTCCCATGCATGCCTTCTTTGCCAATATTAACAGATTGCCAAAGGAGGGCGTTTAGCTAAGGTGTGGGTCTGGCTTTGTTATATTGTAGAAAGGGTCATGTTGTAATGTAAATTCCTCTAATGGTTAAAGCTGGAAAGTGACCATTATACCACCTTCACATTTTTTTTTTGTAATTTAAAGTGACATTATGCCCATCCAATGGTATATAGTGAGTGAACGGGTGAAGATCAAAATATGTTTTCACTTTGCCATAATCCCTTTTAATATAATAATTAAGTTCGCATAAACAATAAATAACACACAGATCCAAATGAAATTTCTGTAAATATCCATTAGAATTTACCTATAACGCATAGTTAATAAAAAGAGTGGGGCAGTCTTTTTTAACTTTGGGCAAATTTAATATTTTATCCTAAACATTTTCCAATATCAACTGTTGGTCAAACACCATTTTGACAGTCAATCTTTTGAAATATAAAGTCAATTCAGCTCAACTTGACTATGAAAATATGAGCACAATGTCACTTTAAAACCTTTTAAACATTTCAGCTCTAAATACATTCTTAATGGACTTGACCATCATTCAATCTAGTCAAAATCATTCATTATTGTTTGGGGGAAAAGTTTCAAGATATATACTGACTGAATAGCAAACAGTGGTCTGTATGGAATCAGTGGCCACCCACAGAGTTAAAGATGATTGTGGACTCAAATGTTTCATACTCATTTTGATCAATTTTTCAATATATACTATATATTATACTACCATGAGTTAGCAATAAAATCTTAATAGCTGTAATGAAGTTTGTTAACTGAATTCCCTATGTTAGTTTAAAACATTGTCTTAAGGTTGTCTAAAGCAGAGACTACAATCTTGTATTAAAACATCAAAGATTATTCAAATAATCTTTTATAATAAAGTATTTCCTAAATATTTAGATTAATCGTTGCGGAATGTTGCTTTTAAACTGAAATTTAAAATAACTTAAAGACATAGTTCACTGATTTCCCCAAGTTCTATACGAAATGAAAACTGAATTCTAAAAATAGAGAAAAAAAACTTCATATTCTAGTACAAGTAGAATCTTTTTCTCTTAGTTTCTCAGATTCATTGAGATAAATTCCAGGTAAATTTTTCATTCAGTGTACAGATTCTGTGTTGAAGAGATTTTGTATACAAGGAAACTAATCTGTAGATTTTAATCTAATTTTAATTACAAACAGCACGTTTTGGACTCTGTTTCTAATTTTCTTTTATAAACTTTGAATTGATTGTTTTTTTACATCTGGTTCTTATAAATTATGTTATATTTAATCCACTACAGTTATTACATCAGATGAAATTAAGCTCTGGCTGTATGTACCAGTACAGTGAAAGATTACAGTTCTAACTAACATCCTTTTTTCTCCCATTTCATACTTTATCTAAGAACATAAATTGTAACATATTGGCAATTTTTATTATTAGGTTAATTATCATGTACTATAAAAGATATTTTTGAGCAATGAGGAATTGTAAATAAGGCATCATTTTACCCTTAGTTATAGATTTCTACCTGTGTAGTCATGGTATGCACTGTTTGCTATTCATTTAGTATATATATTGAAACTTCTCTTAAAATGATGAATGGTTTTGTCCAGATTGGAAGATGGACAAGTTTATTTAAGGTATTTAGTATGATAAGGGTTACAAATAACAGATAAATTATCTTTATAAGACTTTCATATGTCCAAACCTTTTTATTAACTTATACTCAAGTTTTTGGGTTTCCATGTCTAACAATAGATCCATCTCTGTCCCTGGAGTTTCACAATTCAAATTAAACCAAAAAACAAGATTTCCTTCTTTAAGTCCCAACAGCAAGCCCAATGAATAAGTCAAGTTGGGTGAGCTTTCAAATAAGTTGATAACAATATGACTTATATATCATTATATGGAGATGTTGACAGTAGTGGGTACAAACACTGGGTACATTCACCAGGTAACTGTCTTTATGTAAAGGAAGAAATATCTGAACAAAACCTTACAAACTAAATATATAGATCCAGTTAACAATATTCCGGTGATCATATTTCCTATTTTTATAGAAGCATGTATTGAATGTTTGAAGCATGTACACTAACCTATAATAACCTTATTCTATTCATGCAGGCTGCCAGAGAGGAAGTTGAGAAAAAACGAAGGGTAAAATATCATTGTATAATTATCTTGATTATATAACTGACTGTTATCAGGAGACCTTTGTTAAAGTCTTGATTTTATTTTTATGTTTATTTTTTATCAATATTAGACTTGTTACAAAGTTGTTTACCAAAACGGTCAATGGTAGATACTGCAATAATGATATTATAGATGTAGATTATAGAGCATGTTTTGAAATGATAGAATTAAGTGTGTGGTGTTATGTTATGCATGAATTTTATTTTGAAGACTTGGAGCATTTGCTAAAGACTGAATGAAATACGTCTTTAAAGTTATGTATTGTTTTCTATAAATAATTAACTTTTGTAATTTATAAGAAGTGTACTGTTTCAATATTTATCAGATTTATAAACTGTATTTTATGTATAATTCAGGCAAAACAAGACGAAGAAGCTCGTAAAGCAAAGATTCGAGAACAACTAGAAATGGAGAAAAAAATGGAGGAGGAGCTACAAGATGTTCCAGCATGGAAGCGTGAAATTATGATGAAAAGGGGCGGAGCTATCAAAAACTGGGCAGATGAGAGAGAGGATCTGAATGAACAGGTGGATAAATAGTCTGCTGTCTGTTGTGTGTTAGTGATTTGACCTGAAGTCCTTCATGTTTTGATTATGACATTTGTAGATTGGTGCTGAATTAACTGCATGTTTTATAACCATGTTTGCTGTCAGCTTATGTTTTAATGCCTGACTTAATATAAAGCAGTCTAGCAATTTTAAGCAGATTTAGATTTGATGAATGGAAAAGATTTATTTGACCTTTTCATCAGGTCAATTTAATTCCAATCCTGAAGTATTACTTCTTTTATCATGATGTAAAATAATATTATTTTGAAAAGAAACAAAATTTAAAGACTTTTGAAATTATTTTATGCCATTTATTTCCTGATAAAAAATAGTGAATTATATTTGATCATACTAATTGAGCAGCTGTCCAGCTGTAAGCACAATTAAACTAAAGTTTCTTACTGTAAACTATACATAATAGTATGTAAGTACTGATATTGACATTATACAAATTTGGTCATTTTAACTTATTTTGATTATTGTTGTATTGATATGTAGATATTTCCTTTACCCTAGTGCCGCCCATATCTCAATTATAACATTGTTTAGTGATGTTATTGTTATGAAACAATCTAAACATCAGCATTTTTTATTTGGTTGATACATGGTGTACTGTTTTGTTGTAAAGCTAGGGTAAAGTAACTTTACATTTATGTTTAGATATAAATCCTTTACCCGAATTCTTACATTTATTTTTTTGTAATAGATTTTTTTTTGTAATACTTAATGCTATTTTTATATATATTTTTGTTAAATCTCCTATGTTTGTTTCTTTTATATATTCAAACAAGTGGGGTTTTTTATATCTTTTAAATCAAAGGCCAAATGATCCCCAAAAAATTTTCATTTTTATTTTTCAAAAGCTTTTTTTTTTTGGTGTCCAGATACAGTTTCAAAAATGTTGCTCGTTGCCCACATAGCTGAGTGCCATAATTTGCTTCTTTTGTATTGGCAATAAGAACAGTTCAAGTTGTTTATGGAAGACAAAATACCACTTTGTTTACATTTTGCAGCTTATTTCTATGGCTTAATGTGCCTTTAAAGCAGAGTCATGAATGATATTATTATAAAAATAATTATTGGGCTATACTATTCGCATTTTAACCAGTATTGGGTCATGCAAGTCTGGCGTTGGCTTGTGCTGCAGCTTGATTTTGACAATGTTTATATAATAGTTAGATACCAATAAATAAAAATATAACCATTTAAACAGCTAAAACTAGCTACATAGGATATACTTTTCGAAGACGCGCACAGTGTTTATGTAAATAGAAGAATGGTTTAAATGAATGGTTTAATCAACTTTAATGAGAACACTTTGCGAAATAGACTAACATAGGTTTTTCCACTGGACAAGTAAATACATATAAATATGAACGTGTAATAATAAATAGTGATGCTGGTTACACACGATGAGCTTGTTATAAATCTATGATGAGGAATTCATTAGTGTATTATGTCTGTAGTAGATCCTTCTAGAAAATCAAGACTGTTTTGAAATGTGGCCAAGGGACTGAATTCCTGAATCATTAGATTTACATGCACCTGTTAAGTTTAATTATTTTTGCTACTCTCCCTTATTGTTCAAGGTAGAATTTCAGTATTAAAGAGATCATCATTTTTGATAACCTATGAAAAAATCATATTTTAACAACATAAATGAACTGTTAGAAGTGACTGTGTATGTTCATCTAGCATGGTGTGTATGTAGTAATTATTTTAATGCATGTTTTGTTTAATCAGTTATACATGTATGTAGACTGCCAAAACATTAGTTGTAGTCTTCTAGAGGTGTAGACAGAAAGAAACATTAAATTTGTTCTATTGAAACTGTTTAAATATAGAATTAGAAATCCTTAGTTTTTACAGCTTGTGGGAAATTCTGATTAAGTGGCTGACTAAGGTATTTCAAATGGTTGTCATGGTAACCATAAAAGAATTATACATGATGTTTTTGAAGATTTGAAGCTCGAGTTATTGGAGATTTTGGCTTTTTTGGTGCAACGTTGTCTAATTTCAAACATGTTAGACACACACTGAAGAAGAACAAACTTATGTTTGTTTTTTATTCATTTGTCCATGTCTATATATATTATAATGTCACAATATAAAATTCTCAGTTTGTCTGAATGTAAACAAAATGTTCTATAATACTAAAACACTTAGCGTTCTGGAACGAAAAGGCTGATAAAACCTTTACCGCCGTATGTAGCCAGGCCAGCCTGCACATCCATACTCTATACTGTTGGTAGCTCAATTTTTATTTCTTGTTAAGAACTCCCTTAAAAATCTAATGGGCTGTTCTAGATTCAAGGTAGGACAAATACTGGAGTTTGAGGGAAGATTTTGTCAGATGTCAGTTCTGTGTCAGAGAGTTCTTTACATGATTTGATATTATATTACTTACAAAAGGGTATATTTTATAAAATTTATATAATACGGAAGTGTTTTGATATTTAATTTATTGAATGCTTATTTCAGTATTAGACCGCCTCTGTGGTCGAGGGGTTAGAGTCTATGACTTCTAATCCAGTTACCTCTCTGGCGTGGGTTCGATCCCCGGGAGATGCTTTGGTAGTTTAGCACGGAGGAAGGTAGTCTAGTACTGGTGTAACTCTCCAGGAACGATGGTTTAGGAAACTACCCGCCTATATGACTGAAATACTGTTGGGAAAAGGCATGAAATGAAACAAACAAACAAAATTTCAGTATTTTTATATTCTTTTGGCAGTCAACAAGTGTTTTTCTCTGCAGTATAATTTCATAATAAACTATCCATAAGTTGTCTTCATTCTATACAATGTTAATGTTTTAATCTAATGTAACATTAAGTATTATTTTTATTTTATTGAAAAATATAAGGTAAACATAAAATGTCTTGTTCAATGTTGATTTGATGCACAATAGATAGCATTTTGTATGATTTTAAACTTGTAAATTTTGCTGTAGTACATTAGATGATGTAGTTTTTGTTTTGTTTTAATGTAGATACATGTATATTCAGATGTTATATATAGTGAGATGTTAGAAAATCTCTACAGAAGACATAATTATTAACATAGGGCAAGTTGTGTTGTAACTACTGCAGCTTGAAATATTGAGGGGCTGGTAGGCGGGGGAGGGGGCCGGTAGGCGGGGAACTGTATTAAAGTCATGTAGGAGTGAAACTTTCTCTGAAAACACTGAAATCATTTAATGAGAGTGTAGTTAAACAATGTTTTATATGAAAGGTCTGATCTAGAATTTCAAACACAAAGCTAATCTTAACAACCTTTGTACTGTTGCCAACAAAATTTTAAGAATTTGATGTTGAAATCTTTGAAAAGTTCAAAATCAAACAAAAAATAATCTTTTATATGAATTTAGTTGGGTAAGTACATACTAGTATGTTAATTATTTTTAAGCTGTGTTGATCATTAGGGGATGTGTATTTTCTTCTAGTTTTATACTAAATTAGGTACAAAATAATGTTTCAATTATAAAGTGCAATATGTAATACGTTCATGTATATACATGTATATACTTCAGTATTGTTTTGTAAGATAACTGTGCAGTATTATACAAGAAATATTCAAGATTGAATTAAAAAATTTCAAGAAGTTTTTTTTTCTTACTGAATATTTTAAAACCACAATCAGTAGGTGTTTAAGGAGAAATTGTTTTTTACTTTAATATACATGATGTCATATGTTGCGAACGAGCATTGTTAGTAATGTTCACACTTCTGGAATACTCTTTATTTATTTTGATAACTTTAAAATATATTTGTGTTTTTAGCTCACTTGAGCACTTTTTGCCACCTGAGCACAAAGTATTTAAAGGTCAGTTTTTGTTATTGCAATATGTCTGTTGTTCCTTATTTGTTGGTATCTACTTATCTCCTAAATTACAAGGTATATTTTAAACAAACCTCAGAGCATGGACTCTTAGGTGGACCTCTACAAAATTTATAGATTGATAGAAATGATTCCAGACAGAAACATAAGCAGGTCACAAGAGCTAATATTATACTTTAAAAATGAAATCTTTAAAAAATCTTCACTTCAGAAACTACAAGAGCTAAAATGTTTAACATGTAGCAATCCATCATCTTGTGGTCCTTGACAAAAGTTATATAAATCAAGCCCTAGGGTAAAACAACTGTTGGGTCACTTACTTAATACATGTACATTGTTTACACTAACTTTTAAAATCACATTAAAGTCTTCTTATGTGAATATTTTATAAACCATGGAATGATGTAGCTGGGTTTATAATGACCGTCCAGTATGACTTACTTCTGCATTGAAATATTAAGATCATTTCTTGCCCTTAATCTCAGGTAAGCGATCCTGAGCCATTATGGCCCTCTTGTATTTTTATTTTCATTTGTTTTTGTTTGCTCTCAAATATTGATATTAGTTGTTTTTGTCTTAATCATACAGGTTTCCTTTGATTATAAACCTTTTCTATACATATGAATGTTTCATTACTATTTTATACATTACAGCAATGAAAATACTCTTTTTTTTTTTTTACATTCTGCTATCATAATAAAAGATATTATATATTTACATTGGTTAACATTCCACATTGTTTTTGATGAAACTACTCAGCATGTCTGCAATGTTTTACAATACTTATTATAAAGTTATACGATGTAATTATTTTCTATTTTTATTTGCTTGTCTTCTTTAAGAAATCCATCTTTTTTTCTATTTAATAATCAAATATAGAAGATATATATATGTAATATATAAGTAAAGTGATAGATTTGAATGAGCAGTGATTTACTATAATATTTATCTCATATTAGAAATCTTCAATGCAGCCAGTAGGATGCTTGATTTATGCCTGCTTTTTGATACTATATTTTACAAAGCATTTTGTACATTTGAACTAGAGCTATACTGCATATCTAAATAAATTCTTGAAATTCTCTAACACTGTGTTGTTGTTGTTGTGTATGTTGTTGGAAGTTTGCATGTTTTAAACCTGTTTGTTTGGAATGTTTTATGTACTTTGAGCAATTTACAGGTAACATATTCCTTTCTAACAGGTTGTTCCACCCAAGATAAATATGTTATACAATTATATAGCATTGTTTATTAAGAAGTTAAGCATTCTCCAGTGTTGCTTGTAATACAATCTGTAAATAAATTGTTTATCAAATTATTTCATTGTTATATAATACAATTACAATACATGTATATGTGTGTCTATATATTGTTCTTTATCTATAAGGTATGTTAAAAGTGACTTAATGTTAACACAAAAATTAATTCACAAAAATTTAGAGCTGAGTTTAATTAGGGAGAGGTCGGGAAATGAACTCGGGCCGCCGATTCAGAGCGTTGAATTGTGAATCGGGCGGCCCGAGTTCGATTCCCGGTTAGGGTGCTTGCTTCTCAACACAGGGATCTAATCCATGGGTTAATATCCATGATACCTATTATGACACAGTGCTAGCTAGTTCCAGGAAGCTGGCTGTTGAATGGTTCAAACATGCTAAAACTTTTATCATAATAAAGATTAAATAAAGATATTTTAAAATAAAATGTAGAGCTGGCTTAATTAGAAAATAAAAGTCGACTTCTTATACAATGTATGTCATTTAAACAACGTAGGACTAAGTATATATTGATGTTGACTTATGTTAAACTTAAAGCATTGTTCGTGCTTATGCTTATATGATAGAGTTCATTGATCGCATGTGAACTAAGAGTTAATGATTGTGAAATAAAATATTTGTTCTTCTGAGCAAGAGACCTCTGATCAAAATATAAACAAAATTGTATTACAATGTTGTAAGTCTCAAATTTACAGGAAAAAACACATTTCGTGAAAACGATTTAACACGTATGTGATCTTCTTAAAGCAAGGTTTAAGCAAATGAGACTTAAGGAAATGTTATCACAAAAGTGACCTAGATCATGGCTATACAAATGTGACATAAAGTTAAGCTTTCACCAAATTTCCAGCGAATATTTTCCAAGTAACGTATTAAATCATTCTATGCAGTATCGAATGTGTCTCTATTAAAAATATCTTTCCTATCATATAAAGGAAGACTATAAAACAAGAAGTACATAATTTGTATATTTACCTTGTTCAGCTGAGTACTATAAGCTATAATGAGCTTATGTTTTGTGAACAAAAATTCAGGGAATAATTGTTTCAAATGTTATATATTGATCATTTCCACATCTTCGAACAATGACTAACAAGCAATATAAGCAATACTCATATGCCAAAGACCAAATGACTTGATGATTCAAGAATGATTTATACCACCGGAAACTATGAAAATGACTTTACTTGGGGATCATATGCCGCTTTTCATGGAATGGCACTAACTTGTCATTTTGAAGGTTCCATAATGACCGCCATTTGAACACATATGCGGATGATTCAAAATTTACCAGTTCATGTTAAATGTTGAATATTGCTTAAGCCGGTGATGATAGGGGGTATGGTCGGTAGCTTGCAATTACCACTACCGTCCATGAACAGTCTTAATCAAACCGAGCTTGCAACATTTTCAATTTTGGGGTGTTATGGGTAGAGGTTGTACACACAAAGCACATATACGGTTCAAATAAGAAATTATTGGTTTATGGTGATGGGTTAAAGAATTGATGGCACTGAACAATGAAGAAACGGAAATGCTGTTCATTTAACAAATTGATTTTTAGGACATTATTACTGAACGTCCATCACTTGTCCAGTCTCGTTTGATATATTGTAAGCGCTTGCATTCCGAGGTTATTCTTTTAAAGTATGAATAAAATTTTCCATTTCCATAAAACGTTGAAATCTGTATGTGTCGTTATTATGTTCATCCAAAAACTTATATCCTATCCACAGATATACCAAATGTCAGTTTGGGAAAATTATGTAGAAAAGATAGAAGCGTTGCTATATCAGAAGTTAATAAAATAAACAATATTAACATGTAATGTTTTATATATATGATTTTGTTTGTATTTACAGGAACTTGAGGAACAAAGACTAGCAGAACTGGTAACGAGTTTTGTACTCGGCATGTTTATATATACATGTACTAAATAATGATTGTTGTGCAGCGTGTCTAATTATAGTTGGCATGCTTGATAATACATGATATTTATTATACAATCAAAGACAATTGTTTCTTAGTTTAAATTATTTTTATTATTTTACTTATTTCAAGTTCCTTACGTCTTAAACAGCATTGAGTAGATGTATTATCTCCCGTGATTTGTGCATATTAATGAATTATGATTAAATGATTTAAGCTAGCTAGCATGGTTACACTAGTAAATGTATAGCTGGATGTTCGTAACAGTAATTATATGATATATGATAATATTGTTAGCCGGTGATACTGACTATCCAGCATAAAATCATACAAGATAAGCTGTATCCGATTGTACAACTATGTAGTTCTGCACATATTATCTGTTGTATAATCAAACCAATTAGCACGTGTAGTCAATGCTTTATCAATAGCACGTGTACATAGTTACATGTTTCTACATGAAGATATTGTGAAGAAATATTGTTACTTTACTGAAAGTAAAGAAGTAGAAACAAAAGTTACATCCCAAAACTTCTCGGCACGATAAATATTAAATATGTATACAGTACGTTCTTATTCTACTGAGTGTTTTCTATCTCTTTAAATATGTATTTATCTATCTAATTTCGTTTTTAGTTTATACTCTGTTTAATAATTTATCTCTTGTATTTGTCCATCTCTTTAATTTTATTTTCTATTTCTTACTATTGTTCTTCGTGCGTTAACACCACTTTGTAATGTCGTTAGAACATGTTCATTTCTAACTTAAACCCGTAACTATTATTATAACTATTGCATTTGTTAGTGTCAATAATTTCTTCAGTGTGAGCGTGTTATTTTGTAACCTAACTGTACCTATTACAGGGGGATTCTGACAGCGACAGAGTATTTACACAAAAAGCAACTTTGGTATTAAGAGTGAGTTTTGTTCATACCTACTAGTGTTGGTTGCCTGTTTACGCTTTGCCTACAGTAGTATGACAAGTTGCCCATGTTATAACTTGATCAAACTAAGAAACTTTCTCCCCTGATTACTACTGACATTCAGAAGCAGCATAGTTCGAATTGTTCACTAGTAAACAACAGTTTTACTGACTGTCATCTTTGAGGACTAATACCATCACTGTCCAAGCTGAAGTTAACCAATAAAAATATTACATTTATTATCTATTTTAATTCCAGAACTTTATCATTTTAAAATATTATATTAACTTACTGCCTGCATATAATACTTGAAGGAGTTTTAGTTTGGTGTGCGTTTTTTTTTCTAGTATAAAAATTTCTAGTGTCAAAAGATATTCTTAAACAGGGTTTTCTTCCTCTTTTTTATGTCCACATTTCTTATATCATATAATACAAAATTCTCCAGTTCGTTGCGACACGAATGACTGTTTCGGTAAACTAAAACTACTTCTATACTAAATAGATTTTCGGACTTTCACAATGTTCAGGTCATCATTCTTTATAAAGGTAAAGCAATAACACACATAATAACCATGTGTAATACAAAACGATTAATAAAAATACCGAAGAGCGCGATTAATTGACGGATAAGATAATTTCATTTGAATATGTTTACATTGCGAAATTATCCAGTTCGCTATTCATTTTACATATTGCGACATTTCATTTTTGATAATCAAACACTCATACCAATCGGAATGTTCTGCTATTATGGCCGACGAAAAGGCTCGAGACGTTGCAATTGCCCTTTTTCATTCCATAAGGGCGTCGCGCTTCGGAGCGGACGCCAATAATTAAATTGTGTCAAAATATACGATATTAGCGTGCAACGGAATGAATGAATTTGCATGGAGTGTTTATGATTTGTTGAGAGATATGTGATTTATCATCTTATATGCAAGAAAGTATGATTTAATTGGCAGCATTTTGCGGATAAGATAATGAGATGATCATAAATGAGAAAAATGTATTCCTTTGTTCCGTAATGTTTTATATTTGATTCATATCTAATTAGAATGAAAAGCTTATTAAAAAAACTGTTGTCTTTTTACAAATTGTTTCTTAATCAATATCTTTAAATGATAACTACAGTGTAATTGTCTGCCAGTGTTGTCTATATGTAAAGTTTATTCATAAAACATATACAACGATTCCATAAATAATCAAATGTTTGCCAAAACAAAATATTGCATAAAATGTCTTGAATTGTTTGATTCAAGACAAATCTTGTTTGCATGTTTACCGGTGTCGAACACTCGTGCTCCAATTTTGTCCTTACAACTTTTGTAACATTTATACAAACTAATGTAAATATTGTTGGAAATTGTTGCTATGTGTTGCTATGAAGCTTGCTCTATTCCAGGAACGCCTGAATGCTTCACCACCCCCTCCTCCTGCTCAAACCCAACCTAAACAAACATCAGAAAAAAAATCTCCAACCGTGCCGCACGTGAGTCTTCTTACATATATGTGAATTAAATGCCTATGCCACAGATGTATTTTTACAGGTCAAATATTGTTCGTTATGCATATTTTAAAACGTTTGTTGCACGATTACAAGTGTTTAGTAATTATACAATGAAGCAGATTCTGTAGCAATAAAGTTGTTGTGAAGTTGTGTAGTTTCTAAACACAGAATACTGTGATATTAACTGTGATATTAACTGATGCATCATGGAAGCTGTTAATTAATGTGGTCACTAGTGTGTGTTTTAATTCCAAGTCAAAAGTCGTCGTCATAAAACGACGGGAACAAGTTAGAACATAACTAGTTTGTTATAAATCATTTGATGTTAGATTAATCGAGACACAGTTTCATAAGTTTATGTCATGAATTTATATACAGTTAGCTCAATACAGCTTTTTGGATTTCTGCGTGCAGTTTCTAAAAATGTTGTAATGAATACACTACTGTAGTTTATATTGATCTATTTGCTCATCCACGAAAATATTTAACTTATACCATTTTTAACTTGTTCCTTTAAACATTTAACAAATGTTATTGTACATTTTGTCTCAATCGCGTGTCATTCAAGCAATGCAGCCACTGCCTTCACTTTGGCATTTTTTCATAATTGTGTTTCTCGTGCATGTTTCACGTGCAATGTGTAAGCGCTACATAGCTTGGTGTATTACAGGACTCCCGAGATGTGCACACCCCTCCACCTTCACAACCTATATCCAAAAAGGTTACACCACAAAAGACTATCGTGTTGCAAGTGAGTCCAGTGATCTATATAATTATAGAAGTGAATGCATGTATTGTTGTTTACGAGCATTTTATTTTAATATTTCATTTGAAAGTTAGAGTCGTTTTACCGTGGCTGCTATTTTTATTTTCAGAAGTTAAATCTTACTATTTTGTTTCTGTCACTTACTATGGTGGGATGGGTGTGGGGGCTTGAACTTAATGTCTTTAACTTTTATATAATATATTTCTGCATTTTCGGGAGGTATAAAACATGATTGGTAATATCTCGATGGATACATAACGTGTTGCACATTTTGGGGAGGCTACATTTCTTTCGCGTTTGTTTCAGGTCGCGAAATTGATATCAATAAAGGCTACATAAGGTTAAGCTATGTTCAGAACAAAGTTTCTTCACCATTTTAACGTAAAATCTCGTACAAAAACACAGATAACAGTTTAACATCACCTTGCAGAATCACCTAATTCGCCTTAATATGACGTAAATTAAGTTCATACTAGTACATGTATACAAAAATAATAATGGTTTATTTTGCTTCCTCATTTTTAATTTTTGTTTAAATTTTTTAGTCATTTGTTTTATAGACAGAAAGCCTGTTACAGGTTATTTTGATGTTATATTTTGTTCTTATTGTTGTTGTTGTTGTGGTTGTTGTTGAATATACAACAATTATACAACAATATGCTATTGTTACATCAAGACGGAAACCATGGAAGTTGGTAATGTCAATTTATTTGACGTTTAACATATCTAGTTAACTAACAGTTTATGACCATTCACGTATACAATCTAGGCAATCAAAACGTTGTATGAAGCGAATTTTGTTTGTTTGTTTTGCATTACTTTATTGAACATGTTTATCAAAATATATTCAAAAAGTTATAAGTTATAATGTGTATTTGTTTAGATTTTTGTGTTAATGAAATGGAAGGGTAACTAAGTCTATTAAAACATGCATGACTTATACAAAATACTATTGTTAAAAGTTGTGTTCAAGGGGCACAATTCAAACAGTTGTTCATATTTCATTACCTTTCTTGCTCGATGGAAATCGTTTGAATCAATATCGTTCGTCCTTTAGTGCGAGAATGACTTCTATGAAATATCGCAACAACTTGTGTTTAGAAACAATATATTTTGTATTACACTATATACATTTTTGTATACATGTATTATCAGAATCAAACTAAAGAACCGGAAGTAAAGAAGGCACCAGCTCCGAGACGAAGCCTTGATGAGACAAAGCTAGAAGAGGAATGGGATAGCCTACCATTATGGAAGAGAGAGATCATGATGAAAAGAGGCGGGGCTCCTACAAACTGGGGAGATGAAAGGGAAGAAGTGAACGAGGTCGACGAAGAAAGTGTTGAACCATGATCATCTGATTTGTTCTATATAGCTAAATTATTATATTTTGTTAAGCAATTTGTTTCTTGTTGTGATGCGCAAACATGTTTAAAGTAAACAAAAACGTGTAATACAAATATAAAACATGTTTAAAGTAAGCAAAAAAACGTGTAATACAAATATACAATACAATACAATACAATTTATTTGCTTTAAACATTATAACAACGTTTCTAGCATAATAATAGACAGGTAACATAGTTAATAGCAACAATATGCAAAAAAAATGTTATGAAATCTGTGTTAGCGGAGGGATATTTGTTATATGACAAAAATATAAATCTTGATTTGATATTTTTTGTGATGAAATACATAAAGATTACTACATATTAATATAAAAACTTGTTTTTAAAGTAAACAAAAACGTGTAATACAAATATAAAACATGTTTAAAGTAAACAAAAACGTGTAATACAAATATAAAAAGATGTTCGAAATTAACAAAATCGTGTTACACAGTTAACAGTTGCTATAATAAAAGGACATTTAATAGTTTTGTTAATGATAAAAGGGCACGTAACATCTTTGTTAAGGTTATGACAACAATCTCCAGTGTGACAGTTATTATATTGATGACGTCATCTAACTTAAGAGAACATGTTTATTAAGCTTATTCAATATGTTGGGGTGCTATCATTATGATTAAGAAAGAATCGGTTTGATTTTGCTTCCGGGGTTAACCATGCGAAGTAGTAAAGATTTCATACAAGAGGTTTTAGAGGAGCACAATGCTATATTAGAGTTGTAAGATTTACTGAATTGCTGACTGTGTTCCTCACCTTTGCTCGTAGAAATTTCATTATCATTTTATTTAATTTCAAGATATTTCAGCTGTTAAGCCTTGGTGAATTGATGTGTGTATTAGTAACAAACTGAACGAAATACAAAACTAGTAACTATATCTTACTATTATACAAAATACATCTCACCATTTAATAAACGTGTTCACGCATTTAGGAATTGTTCTTTGAACTTAAGTTAAGAAATTTTATCTGAATCTATCGATGTGTGTAAATTATTTTATATATGTTTGTTGTATTATAAAGTGCACGCTTCATTTATCCAGTGAAACAATGGATGAGGATTTTGTTGTTTGTATGAATGTTGTAATATGAAATACAGACGTTTTGTGTGTGGTGTATAAAAATAAATAGGTTGTATGTCGTGATAAAACTTGCATAAAATCTGTTAATTTATGCTAGATACATAACATAAATAATGTTGATAAACTTGAAAGCAACTTTCTGCATATATTGTTTGATCATTAAAATTATTACAATGAAACAGATAAGAAGATAATTTAATTTTCATATCAATCTTACGGACTACAATAGCGATTGGTAGTTTATTTCTATATTTATTTTCTCTAGTGTAAATTATACCTTTTCTGAGAATACAGATTTTTTTTCTAAATTGATTCAACTATGTTAATCGTTTAAATTGTACAATATAGTATTTCGTTTTGTTTTTTTCGTGGTCAGGACCTTATTAGGAAGATGTTTATTCTACATTTCTTTCTGACACAGAAATTCGGGATTATATTTACACACAAATCAATTTACCATGTCTTGTAATAACAATACCTGCTACTTCCGGCAGCTTGTACATTTCTTGCTGAAACCGGAAGTAAACGCTTTTACACTGTGTTAAATGTTTCTATGTCTATAAATGTGGATACTAAATATGTTATGTTTGAAAGGAAATGAGTTTTTGTATAAGACATAATCTTAAATTATATGTACATATTTTCTAATTAAAAGTATGTTTGGTAAATTTAATACATATAATATTTATATATAATTATATTTACTGAGCTAAACTAACGAATAACATTGATGTTTTGATCATAAAAGATTTAAATAAATTTTGTAAAGATATTTACGGCTTTTGAATTTTCAGACATTTCTTTATGTAAATGTTAATATATACCTTATATGATCATATTGGAGCTTAAATGATTTGGCTGCTAAGAAACAAGCTAAGCTAATACATGGACACAAGCTTATGTTTTAGATATCATGCATTTAACATTTCCATAAACATTTGTTTGAAAACAGAGTTTCAATGCATAGTGATGTATTTTTCTTATCCAATGTATTCGTTATCAAGATCAAAATAAAAATGATACGAAATGTATACTTTCAGTAGTTGTTTATGTCCTTATAACTGCAGTAATTGTTTATGTCCTTATAATAACAGAAGTGGTTTATGTCCTTATAACTGCAGTTGTTGTTTATGTCCTTATAACTGCAGTAGTTGTTTATGTCCTTATAACTGCAGTAGTTGTTTATGTCCTTATAACTGCAGTAGTTGTTTATGTCCTTATAATTACAGTAGTTGTTTATGTCCTTATAACTGCAGTAGTTGTTTATGTCTTTATAATTACAGTAGTGGTTTATGTCCTTATAACTGCAGTAGTTGTTTATGTCCTTATAACTGCAGTAGTTGTTTATGTCCTTATAACTGCAGTAGTTGTTTATGTCCTTATAATTACAGTAGTGGTTTATGTCCTTATAACTGCAGTAGTTGTTTATGTCCTTATAACTGCAGTTAGTTGTTTATGTCCTTATAACTGCAGTAGTTTGTTTATGTCCTTATAACTGCAGTAGTTGTTTATGTCCTTATAACTTCAGTAGTTGTTTATGTCCTTATAACTGCACTAGTTGTTTATGTCTTTATGATTACAGTAGTGGTTTATGTCTTTATAACTGCAGTAGTTGTTTATGTCCTTATAACTGCAGTAGTTGTTTATGTCCTTATAACTTCAGTAGTTGTTTATGTCCTTATAATTACAGTAGTGGTTTATGTTCTTATGTAAATATTGACAAAATGTAAGATAAAAATAATACCTGATAGCACCAATGTAACGAAGTAAAATGACCACCCATAGAGTTATGACCCCCGGCCTTGATCTTTTAAAGAAAAGTGACTCCACGATCATAATATTATGACCACCGGTCATACATGAAAATAAGTCTCATGGAGAATGAAGAATAAAATGTGTTGTCATTATTTAAAGAAAGATAACCTCTTTCATTATACAATAGAAGTTAATGAAATTTTGCTAAAAGAAAATGATAAAAAAAAGAAACTTAAAAAATCCTTTCAAGTTAAATCATGACTGAATTTATTAAGTATGATTCTTTTATATCTCAAATTCAGCACTTGTAATGGGAATTATCTTCACTGGCTAACTTATTTCTCATTTGGTTTAGACTGTGTATCGTTAATTTGTACTTCTTTTGATGCCACAGTTGCCACAAACACAATTACAAGTTAAAAGTTTTATATAATAAATTGACAAAAATAAGAATAGTAATATTACAAAGGAGAGGGAACATTTTATGCAAGTCAATATTTTACGAGAAGCGGTGGACGTGTGGTAAAGGTGTCTGCCTCTCACCATCAAGGGTTCGAGTCCTACAGGGGTCAGGACTATGTTTCCTCAAATTTCACGAGTAAATGTTAGTTATAGGAAACAAACATAAGATTAGTTCAAATAAGTTTTAAACTTTTATAAAATTGAAATATTTCCTGTAAGTCAGTATTATTATAATGACAGGAACATGTTTTATCTTGTTAATCTGACAGTGGTCAATATTACACAGATTTCAGATCGTCTGCAGGCATATTGTATCCAACAATTCCGGAATTAATGTTCACATGAAGTTGCCATTACGTATAGATTGAATGTCGATGTACTTACTAAAAGTGTTTAATTTCTTACTCGTATTCGACTGTTATTGAATTTGCTAAAACGGCCTTACAAATTCTATTCAAATGAAATACAAGCTCAAGTTTAATTAAAGCTGCACGCCTCCAGACGAGCCAAAATATTTCAAGAAATTCAATTTTTAGAAACATGTATTCAGATCTTAAGAAAAATAAAAAGATTCAATATTTAATTTATTATTTACATGTTATGTGCGATTAATGACTGATTTTGCGGTAGAAATCACTATAATTCTACTGCGTTACTAACGCAGTAAGAGGTTTTTATGTATATTTTGACCTCTTTTTGGTAATTTACGTGGATTGTAAGTGCCATTTGCAAGGTGTAAATTACTTTCTTTGTTCACTTCACAGTATGTTACTTTTAAACACACTTTCAAATTTTCATGAAAATTTGCATGAATCTGGAGGCATGCTGCTTTAAAGTAAATGTGTCTATAATGGAAGATTTGTAATACCAGAAATGACTATGTTGACAGTGTTTAGTATCATACGTGAAAACGAATCACGAAAGAATTGTATGTACAGACTCAATCAAACCGAGTCTGCAATTTTCATGTAATTTTTCTGTTTTTAATGCTTCCGAGGGATCACTTTTTTCCAGATATGTATTTATGGATGATGTTGGTAAGTGTAAGATAAATAACCCAATACCACATATCAATATATAGTAGATGATAAAGTGTGCTTGAACAAAATATTACATGTATAATTCATCACAAAAGTATTCATGCTAAATCACTTTGAAGTCAATCAACATTTTGTTTTCTAGAAATATTTCATAAGATTATCCAAATGATACATCTCTATTGTTTTTATCAATATCTGAAATATATGTATGGAAAATGTGCCCATTCTCGACGTATCCACTTTAAGAAACTTTTAGATCTTTCCCTATTTTGTACTTTGAAAATAAAATCAACAAACATTTAAAACTGGTGAAACAAAGGGGGAAATAAGGTACAATGCTTTAATTAGTACATGTATTAACATTCCTATTTCTATCTTATCAATCATATTAGATATGATAGTTATAATAGAGTAAATGACATCATCTTACGAGATTTTATTCGACAGCTTATTTAATTGTTATAACTATTAGCATATGATATACAGATTATTTATTAGTAGTTTAAAAAGACAAAGTTAACATACAGAAACTAGCAACTAGCGATAGAGAACCACCGCGATCGCTAAAACACAAATAAACTCGCTTACTTCCCTTTCAGCGAATGAAGCACGGTAAAATATAGAAGAGATTCTATTTATGAAAACGAAATTCCTAAAATTGAGTAAGACATGCTTTAGAAACATATCGTGTAGTTTGTTAAGTTTTGTCAACAAAATCAAATTAAAGAGGAACATCATTTTATAGATAAAATTCTTAAATTAAGGACAAAACGACCGACTCTTACATGTTGTTAGATCTGTTAGATAGGTAAAACAATAAGCCTGGTCTATATGAGGTCAAACAGCGGTGATAGGTGCACTTTATGATTGCACTTTTTTGTTTTGTCTTTTACCTCTAAAATAACAGAAAAAATCTTTAGAATTACGAATCACCTTTTTCTACTAGATCTAATTCCAAGTTTGAAGTGTCATATTCCAAGGTGTCATACCTGATGATATTTAAAGTTGTTTTATGCGTATTTTTCACTGATGATAGCATAGCAGTTTAATTGGTTTAAGAGACCCAAAGATATACATGGCTTATGAATGATTTTTGGACTTCGAGTTGAAGTTTACAATTTCTAAATTATATAATATGCTTTATGGCTGTAGAACAAGAAAAATATAGGAACAAAGATCAACAATGCACAACGACATTAAGAGAATGCAACCAACGACAAAAACAGTCACACTGGACTACCGCAAAGGTATTCAGGAGGGCACCGAACAAAAAGCAGGAGAGGACACAGAAGTCGGGACATGGAGTGGTCGCACCAGTATATGATAACAATTGACAACTTAATAAAGAAACCCCTAAATGCCAACGCCATTTAAAAACATTTTTAAAAGCAATTCAAAAAACACAATTGCATTTACATATTTTTCAAGGAATATCTGTGACTAATCAATATGATCTTCGCTGAATCCTTTGGCAGTTAAATACTTTACTGAAAAAAAAATAAGATTGCAACAATAAATGCGTGAACTACAAGTTTGCAACTAAAATGCGCTTGAACAAGATATTTTCGTGTATTGAACATGCAAATTCAAACATTTACACAGTATTGAAAGATACATATTTTTATTGTTTGGTGAACTTTAAAACTTACAGATGTGAATAATTGAGCATATAAATCGCCCTGGATTGTCACTTGTCAAATCTCAAAATGTGTACATAACCAGTTTATATCTTCAATAACTTCGTAATATCAGACATTTTGAAGCTGAGACCTTAAACCGAGTGTGCCATTATCATTGCTTTAAGGAATAGGCATATTAAAGAATTTCATAATAGCATATTTTACAAACCAACTTACCTGATGAAAATACGTGCGGGTGTTGTAAATTCATGACCACGTTTGCAACAAATTTTCTCGCTTGAACCAAGTGTGCAACCACTTTATGTTCTGCCCCTTGATAGAAAAACATGCTACTGTTTTTTGGCTGATATGAGCTAGAAAGGGGCGAGGCTTGCCGATAAAATTGATATCAAAAGACAGTAGTACCGGTATGTTATTCTGTATTTATCAATTAAGTTTACCTTCGTTTTATACACTGATGGCACGGTTTCATATATTGTAACTGTTGTTTTATATCGGTATAATGATTTCCGGTATAAATAGGTGTTGTTCTTTTTTTTCAAATCATATATTCTCGAAGTGAACTTATACATAATCTACATTATTAAATGTATCTAAAAAGAGCAAAATAAGACAGCATGGCTTTCCATACTGAAGTAACAAACTCCTTTACCAGTAGTAAAATTAAGTTGGTACGGTTGTATGACGACAGTGATTAATCTTATTTAAACTCAAATGTATCAAAATTATGTAAAAAAAACAAACACTAAAATAATCGATTATAGTAAATAGATAGTAGCTATATTCAATTATAGACACATATTACTAGCTTGTTAACTTTTTGTGACAATGAACACATAGACAATGTAAAAGCATATGGTTAAAATAAGTTCATAGAAATCGGGGTTTATCTCACAGATTGAAGAAAGTTTATTTTTCAATAGATAATCCCATTTACTTCAATGCATTTGGCATACATTTCTTTTAAGCAGTCTTTGCCTTTGAAATAAGACTTCTGTGTTGTCCCAGATCAAGCTTCTGATCAAGCCAGATCATCATCCAGAAATCTCGTTCCACGCAAATGAGACTTTAGATTTTTAAACAGCCCTATAATCACTTATGCCAGGTCTGGACTGTATTTCGGGTAAATTAACTGCACAAACTTGCACTAACAAATAGCTGCTTTTGCAACATCGGACTTATACACAAGGGCATTATCATGAGAAAGAAAGACACCGGCTAGCTACCCCTTTTTTCTTTATTATCAATCCTTAATTGTTTAATGAGATTGGCGTAGTATTATTCTGTTATAAAAGTACTATCAGGCTTGTAATCTATTAATATTATCCCTTTAGATTGCCATTACCTTACCGGTTGATGATTTGGTGTGAAATTTCTGAGGTGGGGTGAGCCAGTGCACTTCCATTCATTGCAAGGACTTTGCTGTAGAATCTTGGTCCCAGTGGTGAAGCCAAGTCATCTATTACGAGCGTGAAAGTCTTCTGCATCGGCATTTCTAGAAGCTCTTCACTTGACTGTACCCGTTGCTGACGATCTTATATGTTCAGGTTTCTGAGTTAAAACCTGGCAGATACTTTTGGTATTCCTAAATATTCATGTACTATAGAGTAAACACATCTACTAGAAAAACAACGCTATGGTGCAAGTTCGGCAACTTTGATTCTGAGATCATTTAGCATACGTCTCTCAACATGATCGGGCATCTCCTGCCTAATGACATTCGCAGAGCGACCTTGGTATTGTGTTATTATCTATAAGGAGTCTGGCTCACGCTTAAATTCTGCTGAGAACTTAGCTATGTTAAATAGTTAAGTTCACGTTTACCATGCATATTAGCAATGCGGTGATGGATTTCTTCAGCGTTCATCTCCTTCGTAGTAAGAAACTTCATAACTGCTCTCACCTCTATATTCTGATTTTCCAATTTGGTAAAGGTTTTTAAACAAAAATTAAGAGCAAAAATATGTACCTGTTGATTATTCAACTGACAAAGGTTTACAATTTGCACAAAAACAGATTTATTGAACTCCTCTTGCATAAATTACTTTAAAGCGGCATTACTGACTAAACGAAAGCGCAGAGTACAACATTATCTGCTGTAATGAGATATATGACTTGAATCATATTATATACTAACAGGTACGTATATTATATATACCTGATACTAACTATTGTTATCTTTGTATAAATGAATGTTAATTTTATATCTCTCCGTAGACTTTCACAGAAGCTGAGGACAATAATATCGTCTGCCACACGGGAACATTTTGGACACATCTTCCGCCACACGGGATTATCTAAAACACTGAAGGAAAAGAAAATGCTGTATTTATTCAATCAAAGTTTATATAAGAAAGTGGTTGTTGTAGTTATTGAAATGAAGTTTTATTGTCATTCTAAGTTTATTTCGTTTTATCATTCATTCTTACTAACATACAATAATACTGAACTTAATTTCATTTAAACACTAAGTTTTCTTTTCATTTAAAAGCATGCTTTCTTAGAACGCAAAAATACTAACATTGAAGTTTACAGCTAAAAAAAGGATAGAAAAAAGTATAGAAAATAGCACTCAATGTTTATCTTCCAACATGACATTACAATGACAGCCAAAAACGCTGATTCCCGCATATCAATGTGAATTATCTATTAAACACCAGCAGCCAATTTCACACTAAATTGCGCCTTTCTATTGTTGCACAAAAGTCTCCAATAGCGGAGACCATTGCATATTGGAATTCTTGGAACGACTCATTTGCTCCGCCCATTTAATATCTCTAATCCAATCAGAGTTCTCCTTTCTCCGAAACGTGTATTATTGATCACCAAACACTTGAACAAACATCTTCAAGAGCAAGTGATGAATTTTCTTTATCAAATTAATTAATGAATGATATTAATGGTGAAGATTAAAGAGTGAAAGGCGAAAAGTGAGATGTTTATGAAGATTTTAACAAGTTGTTATGACGAAACGATGTGAAAGTGCTCAACGCCGCAACAAAGTTACACGCGACGAGGCCTTATAATAAACATTAAAGGACAGACAAATGTTTTTGAAATATTCGAGAGTTCAATCTATAAAAGTTTAAGAATATTGGAATATGGCAGTATATAAGTAAAATGTGCTGCTCGGAAACGAATAAATAATTCAAGACTAAGGCAAATGCTTTGAAAAAATAATTTATGACAAAGTTAATAGTAAGTGGAAAATATAAAAGCGAAATATAAATAATTTATATTTTCTTTTATTTAATAAACTGATTGATTAAATAAACGTTTGTTTTTATTAAAACCTTTGAAAGAATATCCTTCCCTTTTAAAATCTTTAAACGTGAAAAAAGAAGCAAATATGGAAGGACTTACAGAATTTGTATCTAAAAGTTTTGAAGAAAAATCAAAAGGGATAAATGAAACACAGGAAAAGGGTTTGAAGAATACGGACACGTTTATAGGATCACGAGAATCGAGCCCTGTTCAAGTCTGTGACGATATGGAAGAAAATGTTCCAAAAGATTTGTCAATGGTTAAAATTGACGTATGTTCTAGCCGACCGGAAACGCCAGAAAATGAGCCGCAAGAGTGTGACTCCGGTAAGGTTAAACACAATAAATTACTAATTGATTATAACCAATTATTATTTAAATATACATGCAAAACAAGAATGTTTTTTTTATTTATTTTGTATATTTTATGTTCATTAATTATTACTGTTATAATTATGTAACATATATTTCCATAATTGTATTACATTAATTTCTTCATGTTTTAATTTTCATAAAATGAAATTTTAGCGTGTTTTGTATTATAAACCTTTCATGTTGTTGGATTTTTTTATTTATATACGGTTCACATTCTGCGTTCCTGATCATATCTTGAAAAGCAAATACTGTTGCGGTGTTAAACTATTTACACCCATGGATGAATTGCATTAACTTATTTTATTATTATAAATGTAACGAATATAGTTTGTTTGGTATATGTTTTATGAAACGGGAATAGGAAAACATGTCATTTATCATAATAGAAAAATCTTATGTACTTGTATGCAAAACAGTAACAGGTTTATTCATTATTCGGTTGATTCTGAAAATATTAAAATTTACTCAAGTTAAATATTCATATAAATTTATCTCAATCACCACAGCCATATTGTATATGATAAAATGAGACAAATTAAGCTAAACTAGATCGGTAGTAATAAAACAGTTTCCGAGGTTTGTAATAGCAACAAATACTGCGGAGTTCACATTATTGTATTAACATTTTAATGTTTTGTTTTATAAAATAAGTGATATGATCGCTATATTGCCTTCTTGTATGCGGAAACAACATTCAATTATCCAAACTGTTTTATAGAATATTGCTTGAATTTATAAATATATATATATAATTAATAATTACTGAATGTTCGTGTTTGTGTGGCTTGTTTGTTTACTTGAATTTACAAAGAAATTCAAATGTAATATTCTATATAAGTTTACTACCTTGATAAATTACTGCTCATGTTCAACTACGATCTGTCAATATATTGTTTCATGATTAAATAATGCCCCTTTGTCTTGTAAAACTTTTGTAAAAATTTATATAAAAATGTTGTTTGTTTACACGCACGTTATAATGATTATAATATTTATAGTTATATCTAAATTTCAAATGTGTAAATAATTAGTGATAACGTCAATATTTTACAAATCTTCAGTTATTAAAGTTATGAAACATTAGATCTATATACAACAGCGATAAATATGTACAGTTCACCCAAAACCCTCAAAAGTTTTGATAATTTAAACATAACGTTTCCAGACATTTTTGTTTCAAATCCAAAAAAATTCAATATCAAACTCATTATTCGAGGGAACAACATTTTTTTTTGGATTTGATCATTAATGATGACGTCAGTGGTGTAGGATTGTTAGGGGGTAATAAGGTTTTTATCTCATTCGCCAAAACGAGGCTTATTAGTAAAAATTACTTAAATTAACCATCTCAATGATCTTAAATGGTTATCATTTTCTTCACTTCGCCGAGTTATATCTTGTCATTACAAATTTCTCTTTTCATCAATATCCAATTAGTACGAACATAGTCTCTCCTGGTAAAAAGTTATAATATTCTATTTGCCACATTATTTCCTGTCAAATTACAACTTAATAATAGTTCTTAGAAATTAGGCTTTCAGATCGTATAAAGCGACAAAAGTGAAAATTATAGGGAATATCTTAATAGAATGATATTACTTTATATTTAAGCTATCCACGTATAATGAGCTAAGAAAAAATTATACAGAGAAAACCTTTTTTGAATTTCTTAGATTTAATCGTATCATCATTTAGGGCAAATTATCTGTAATTGGACATTATCCTCTTGTTGGAATCGTAAGTGAGATAATTTAAGGAAGCTTTATGTCAGTGTGTATTCTATTTTATGTCCCTTAAGAAAGCAAGCAGTCATGTTCGTATTCAGTCCTGAAATCTGAACTTGATCGTTTTATCTCCTTAAAGGACCTAAATTTCGCGGAACAATATACGATATGTCATTTCAGTAATTATTTCTCTACTTTTATTTTGAAAGTGAGGCTAATTAAAGAAAGCATGCACATTTCTACATGAGCATGTTCGAATAAAGTTGACATTTGCAGGAACATAAAAGTCATCTCATCCCAGCTAATAGCAATAACTTTTGTAACATTTTTGATTATGTCAGAAATGGTTTGCTAGAAATTAAGACTTTGAAATAAAAATGCATTGGCATTTTCCAGAATTTTACGTAATTACAATATAGGATGCTAAGTAATGTAAAACATTGACACATATTTCATCTCGTTTGTTATAATGTCATTTATTCAACAAATTGAATAATGTTTTTAAATTGTAACCGGTGCTGGGGGATAGGAGGGGGTGGGGGCATGAGTGATGTTGCACTTTATATAGTCTTGGATGTACAATCTCGATATAAACGTTATGTGATCTTTAAATATAAAATGTGTTTTAATTGCTCTCAGGGGATTTTTCCCGTTTAAAATTTACCCTCTATATATAGTTTTAGGAAATACTAAAACATACTGATGGAGCGATACTTTACTTCTTTGCTAAATAATGATGTCACTTGCTCATATTGTAACCGTCCTGTAATACTTAGTTCCTAGTACTTTAATACTTTTCAGTTATTATTGTTGTTCTTGTTGTTTTGTTGTTTTTTTTTTTTTGCTTTTTTTTTGACGAAAACAACCAGATCACAGTCATAATGACTTATATTGTGCTGGTTGTATACAAACAGGTACAGGCGAACAAGAAAACAGGTTAACAATGTCCGTTTTATCAATTGATACTTTTTAATTAGATATATTTTCCTGTTTATTCAGTTGTTGATAAACATTTCTTTCTTATAAACAACACATTGCGATACTTGACATCAGCATGTAAAAATATTCAAGTTACCTCAACAATAAAAACTAGCATAAATAAATTATTTCATTGATAAAAATTTAGTTAAGTAATAGTAAAATAGTGTATGTATCAACACTATATGTGTCACAGAACAAGGTTAAGTTAAAATAAAACTCATGATTTGTTTATAATGCAATATGCTATCAGAATAATATTTTTGTTGTTCTTTATGAACATTAATGAGATACAATAAATTTGAGAACATTTAATTTGATGGTGTATATTTTTGTATTTTCAACATAATTCAACATAAATGAAGAGTGTAATGCTTTTTTTTGCAAGCCACCGGCCGTGCACCACTCAAACCAATATTGTAGACTTTCTCCTTTTTTTTGCAAATAATCCAAGTTCGTTTCTATTAAGCTTGACATTGTCAAACATTTCTTCTTTATTTTTTTGCTTGAATACAAAAATCATGTTAATCAAGTGTGATTTGTCATTGTTTCCAACAACGCTAATTCGAACATTATAACAATAACCAACAAAAAGTTTATATGCAAAATAATTTCGAAAAACAACTTAACCAGCAAATCATATAAGGTAAATGTTGGCTGTTTTCCTTTATGATGTTACAAGTGGTGATGTTTACTTGGATCGTTATTTGCCTTTTGGAAGACAATTTATACCTAAATGTTAATATTATATCAAAAGTCATAAATAAGAGAGAAACATGGATTAAAGCAATGAAAGGAATAGCTACACATTTTATAAATGTTATGGTTATTATAGGTATAGTTTATTATCTCAATGAGAAATAAAATACTATGCTGCAGACTTGAAGATGATTGCATCATATCAGATTCTGTTTAAGATAAACGTACTGTTAATTGGACTTATATTATAAAGATATCGATATATATATATAGAAACGATGTAAAGAAAAGTATTTTGTTATTGATATTTTAGGCAATGGTTATTTTCATATGAACATTCTTTTATTTAAGAACATATAAAATATATCATTGATGATTATTTGTTTTGTTGCATTTATTTGTCCCCCAATCCTTCTATTATGATTAACATGTATTGTTTACATGTTGGTATTTATATAACAGTCAATATACATGTATTTATATCTTAAAAAATTTGTAATATTTTTTACAGTCAACACAATGTATAAAGTGAAATTATGAAATCATATTATTTTACATCTTTGTGGCATATAACCATAAAATTGATCACATTTGTACTTATTCTTTTTACTGCTTTAAACCATGTTTCTTTCTTATTTTTTTATTTTTGTTATAATATTACCATTCATACTGGATAATGGCAATAGATGTTATTTAACTTCTGTAACTGTCTAAACGACCCAAATCGCAAAGACCAAGCTAATGAAGTTAATCTAGCTGTTTCGATTAATTTCGATTAATTTCATTAGTTTGCTATGCACTAATTTCTTGTGTTTACTGGCAACACTGGATCGCCGACAGCAGTTAATTATAACACAAGCAATTCTAAATTATCAGCTGCAATCTGAAGTATTTGTACAGAAGTTAACTTTGATATCTTGTTGTCAGTGAAATATAACAATGACAATATAGGCTATAACAATGACTATAACATGATAATTATTTCATTTTAAGTGTGTTTTTAAGTATGACAATCTTTCAATGATTGTTACATATTTCAGACGAATTTGAATTATCTTTTCGGAAGGATGTTAAATCAGTACATCAAAGAGATATAAAAAATGAAATTTTGTATTTGTTTTAAAAGTAACAAAATTATTTAAAAGTCTGGTTACCGTTTTAGAAAATATTATTACATAAACAGCAAATATTTGACACTAGACTGGTTTTATATTACAAAGATATAAGTCGAACATAAAATTACAAAAGCAACAACACAACTAAGTTTTTTTTTCACAGTAGTCGCAAATATCATTGAATTCTATACATGTTGTAATGACTCAGACACACTTACAATGTATATATTTTTGTGTAACTGTATGTGTATTATAAAAATGTCACAATGGAAATTTAATAGGTCGCTCAACATGGTAAAAATGAAAAACTGTTGCAGTTCTGTCCATGGACGTTCACAACCTAGCTCTGGGATAAGTAGATCTCAACGTTTAATCATGGAAATGATGTTTCTTTGGAATTTTGAAACCTCCACATATGTATCAATCAATAAAAAACGGCATATACCCCTTACCCTTGAGAAATAAATGCGTGTGCCCTTAACGGAAAAGAAACAAAATAAGAATATAAAGATGAGATATCAGGCTGTATATGGCACGTTGTTCTTCTTATAAGGAACTGTTCCAGATGGGTTGTCCTGTTATAATATATTTTAAATGAATCATCATTAATGTAGGGGGACAACTTCTTAAAAAAATATTTGAATAAAATACTAAATATGAAAATATTAAACTTATTTGCTACATTTTACTCCATTATTTAGCTGATGACTTAAAAGATCGATGTTCTGATAATGAAAATGATGATCAACCAAAGTTGAAACAAAGGCGAAGTAGAACCAACTTTACACTGGAACAGCTAAACGAGCTGGAAAGGTTGTTCGATGAAACACATTATCCGGATGCCTTCATGAGAGAAGAATTAAGCCAGAGACTTGGCCTCTCTGAGGCTCGTGTTCAGGTACGGTACTACATAAACTGGAAACATTAACAATATTCAGATATATGTACAAACTTATAAACGCTTATTTGAATTTGCCGTAGCTTTCGCCCTTTCGACCTTCTTCGGCAGCAGTTATTATACATGTACATACAAATATAATCAAATATATAAATGCTTCTGAGGAGGCCGAGAGGCCGAAAACTATGGCAAATTCAAAATAGCGTTTTTAAGTTTATACGGCCAATTAAGGATTTATAAATATGTATAAATATATAAAGTTTTTGACCAGGTAAGTAATAATTCAGATATGAAGAATATTTACAGAACGTGTTGTGTTTAATACGTGATATAAAACACCAGTTTAGAAATTTTAATTCTGAAGCAGCATCATTTTCAGAATTTGGTATGCTTTTGTACATATGTTTACTAGTACGTTATATTTTTATCTTTTTAACAATACTAACATTTTTTCAAGATTTTACATGAATTGTTATCCAGATTAACACATTTTAAGTACATTTTGAATAATGAAAATTCGTGTTAGGTCAATAATCTACTTTCCATATAAACATTGGTGTTATGTCAATAATTTGCATTTATTGCAGGCATTGGTGTAAAGTCAATAGTCAATTTTCCATATAAACACTGGTGTTAGGTCAACAATTTGTTTTCCATATAAACACTGGTGTTAGGTCAACAATTTGTTTTCCATATAAACACTGGTGTTAGGTAAACAATTTGTTTTACATATAAATACTGATGTTAGGTCAACAATTTGTTTTCCATATAATTACTGGTGTTAGGTAAACAAACTTCGTTCCATATAATCATTGCTGTTAGTACAACAATATATTTTCTATATAAACATGGTGCTATGTAAATTTATTTTCCATATTAACATTGGTGTTAGGTTAACAATCTGATTTCTATATAACCATCACATTCTGTAATGTCAGGTTATGAAAACATTGGTATCATCGACGGTTTTTAAGTACTGCTTAATAACAACTTTTTATCAATTCTTTTGACTAATATTTGTTTGTGTTTATTTTCTTAGGTATAAAGTAAAAACGGTTTAACATTTTCATATAATTATATTGGGCTAGGTATGTTCGGAGCTCTACTGACTGTTTTCTTACTGCTTTTTGATATAAAATAAAGTTTATGGGGGAATATTTCATCAACTCTTTAAGAAAATTGTTTAACTTTCATGCATATATAGAATTGTGTTATATTACGGAAAAGTGTACATGTACATCTTTAATGAATTTAGAATATATCAATGTTTCTGTAAAAATATTAATACATGTATTATAGTTTATGGTAGTATTGTCTTGTTCAATGAACTTGCAAAATTATTTTTATCTTGCTTTGTGAAGTCATAACAAGCAATGCACCAATGAAAACGATTCTGTAATTATAAATACATTGGACACTTTATCTTAGCATTTCTAATATCGTGTTATGTCATTCGTTCTCCATGGCAGATAATACAATCAAATTCTCTACAAACTGATTCCACAAGATATGACAAGCCGTTAATGTTCTTGGCACATAATTTGTCAATTTATACTGCGAGATAATTGTTTTGTCTTACAATCATTCATATCTAATTTCATCAAAACTTGGTTACCGAAATATTTTACAGCGAGATATTTTATTGTGATAAATTTTCAGTTTTCATTTTCAATGAATTATTTAGGTACCTTATGCCCGCAGAAACGTTTAAATGAGTTTGTTCCTTGTGTGATGGTTGAAACATGAATAAATGTTGACAGTTCTATAATGTCATTGATCATAAACTTCTCAGCTCTTAGTTTTTGTTTATCACACATATATACCACAAAATACAGCTTACAGAGCAAAGTCTACTTACATTTATTAGGAAAACATCGCTGTTAAACTCTTAAGAAATTAATTTGCCATTGCTTTGAAATGTCAGCCGTCACTTTGACTAATACTCCATAATATATATCAAATTTGGCAGGATGTATTATATACAGTTGAAATGTATAGCGTTATTTTCTACTGTTTATTGTCAACATGCTTTTAAACAGTCATATTCTTTTATTCAGGTTGTTCTATTTTTGCAAACATTGTTAAAGTTATACGCGGAAGTAGTCCAAAACGTACGATAAAAGCAAACAATGTTTGGTTTTATTTAATAATTCATAAACAACAAGGGTATGAGCCATGTGACCTTCCATGTTCTCTAGCACCCGCTACAACAGACGTCCATGCCCATTAGCACTGTCAGTCATCCATGTCCCCTGGCAGAGATAGACGTCTATGTTCCGTAGCACCAGCTACAAAAGACGTCCATGTCCACTAACACCGGTTACTGCAGAGTTTTGCGTTTAAATATGATACATTTTTATAAAAAATGTTAATTTCGAAAAAAAGTTTAGATTGCAAGACATAGAGTTCTTTCATTGAAAAGTGTTAGTTTATTTGATTAAATATACATTGTATTATGTTAAACAGTTCATGTATTATGTTATACATTTCATAAGTGTTACTTCTATCATGAATTATCTCGACAATTCACTAGAAATGTATAAAATGTTAAGTTGGCTATAACTTTTAAATAGATTAGGCAAATCTGTTCGGAAATTCAGTTTGTTAAAGAAAAAGAAAGTTCTCTATTTGTGAAACTAAAAAATGTACATATACGTGTTTGACATTCACATTAGTCTTAATGTAAGGATGCAAAAGTTTTGCAAGCTTGTTTCTAGGCGAACGGTTGTTCGGCTGCTATTGAGTAACGTCTTCATAAACATAAATAATGTAACTTAATATGTAGCATCCCTTCAAAAAAAAAGAGCTAAATTCAAGTTTTCAGTTGAGATACTACGAATACTTGACGGAGGTAAATAATTAAAATGGCCAATTATTGTTATTATTATTATCATTATTATTATTATTAGTATTATTATTATTATGAAAAACGATGCGCGTGTATTTTTATGTCATCCCTACAAATGAAAAATTGTGAATGTTCGTAATATACAGCTCAGCATATCAAAAATATTTACATTACACATGTGTAGTAGTTTTTAGGCGTTTTTAAATTCAAAACGGACTCTTAAAGGGATGTCATACCATAGCGTGTGGCACTTATGTAAGCATATGGGGAGTATACGGCAGTTAGTTATTCTATTCTTATTCTACTTTTGGGCACGCTGATATATACGTCAATGAACGTTCCCATACGCTCATAATATGCTGGACATATAAACTTAATACGGTAGACTGCCACTACAAGGCTTACTTTAAGGTCATTTACGCTAGTGAAGTCAGAAAACCTAACAATAAACATTTGATGGTATTATATTTTTTGTCAGTGTCATTCTGCCTATATTCTAGGTATGGTTATAACATAGTTATAACGGAAGAGCATCTGGTCTTACTCCTCTATGTGTACAGCAAGACAGTATTGGATTCTTTAATGTACCTGGCGGAATGCCGCATGTATCTCCCGGTCAACTTGCTGCATCGTTCTTAAAGTTCTTTTCTATCCCCCTTTACAAAGTCATTTTTGCTCGAATCTTACAGTTTACGTATTCCACATACGCTATTTATACGGTACTTATACGTTTCGATCATCGATAATGTTTGTTCATAATCACAACTCCGCCCTTGTCCTCTTCAGTGCCTTGATTGGTACATTAACGGGGGTGGTGTGAGTGGCAGGGTTATGACGAAACTGTGTTCTGTGCCTTATCTATGTTTGTTCTCATTTTTAGATTTTTTAAAAGGATTTAGTATTACGTATTGTCAGACCTCTATATAACACAAATATATATAAATGATTATATATAACACAAATATGTTACCTGGCCTATATAACACTAGAATATTGCCAGACCTAGATATAACACAAATATGGTACCTGGCCTATATGACACTGATATATTGCAATGATTATATATAACACAAATATGTTACCTGGCCTAAATAACACCAGAATATTGCAAGACCTATATATAACACAAATATGTTACCTGGCCTATATAACACCAGAATATTGCCAGACCTCTATATAACACAAATATGGTACCTGGCCTATATGACACTGATATATTGCAATGATTACATTTAACGCAAATATGTTACCTGGCCTATATAACACTGATATATTGCAATGATTACATATAACACAAATATGTTACCTGGCCTATATAACACCAGAATATTACCAGGCCTAGATATAACACAAATATGGTACCTGGCCTATATGACACTGATATATTGCAATGATTACATTTAACGCAAATATGTTACCTGGCCTATATAACACTGATATATTGCAATGATTACATATAACACAAATATGTTACCTGGCCTATATAACACCAGAATATTACCAGGCCTAGATATAACATTAATATGTTACCTGGCCTATATAACACTAGAATATTGCAAGACCTATATATAACACAAATATGTTAACTGGCCTATATAACACCAGAATATTGCCAGACCTACATATAACACAAATATGTTAACTGGCCTATATAACACCAGAATATTGCCAGGCCTAGATATAACACAAATATGGTACCTGGCCTATATGACACTGATATATTGCAATGATTACATTTAACGCAAATATGTTACCTGGCCTATATAACACTGATATATTGCAATGATTACATATAACACAAATATGTTACCTGGCCTATATAACACTGATATATTGCAATGATTACATATAACACAAATATGTTACCTGGCCTATATGACACTGATATATTGCAATGATTACATTTAACACAAATATGTTACCTGGCCTATATAACACTGATATATTGCAATGATTACATATAACACAAATATGTTACCTGGCCTATATAACACTGATATATTGCAATGATTACATTTAACACAAATATGTTACCTGGCCTATATAACACTGATATATTGCAATGATTACATATAACACAAATATGTTACCTGGCCTATATAACACCAGAATATTGCCAGACATATATATTACACTTACATATAGCAATGATTACATATAACACAAATATGGTACCTGGCCTATATGACACTGATATATTGCAATGATTACATTTAACACAAATATGTTACCTGGCCTATATAACACCAGATATATTGCAATGACCTATATATTACACTTATATATAGCAATGATTACATATAACACAAATATGGTACCTGGCCTATATGACACTGATATATTGCAATGATTACATTTAACACAAATATGTTACCTGGCCTATATAACACCAGAATATAACCAGACTTTATATTTCACCAGCTAAGTCTGGCCATATTTTATACTAATAGTTGTTGGATTGCTAAATATTTTCTAAATTTTAAATTCAAAGAAGAAAAAGTACACGCATTTAGCATGATGGGGTCTAATATAACATGGACTTTCAAATCTAAATTCATCAAAGTTTATTAGCATCTTTTGTTCATAGATTATTTTTTAATTTCGCTTTGGAAACGCGTTCGTCGATACAATTAATGTCAAAAAATCCAATTTTACACATTAAATTTTCTTTGAAAACAATATTTCATTTAACTATTTGGCAACAATATGACATCAATAATTGAATAAAATCCGAAAATTACTTTATTACTGAAAAGGGTTTGGTTTTCTTATTACCCTGTAAAGCGATGAATTTAGCCGCCATAATCAAATCTAGAGCTCTAGTGTATATCAGATTCGTTTTTTAAGTAATAAGCCTTTTATTACTTTAAACAAATTGAATTAGTTGTGTAATATAGTAAGGTAATGATTTAGAATAGTCGAAGCTGCATAGATTCACACGCGAAATTTTCTCTATTTAATATCAATTACTGTAGAATTGGAATTCACTGCAGACATACTAGTATATAGTTACAAGTTAATTGAAATCTATAACATAGTTTAGGCTTGGTTAATTTGGTAATTTTCTCGAAACACGATCTATATAATGGCTTAGAACAATTCAAAATATTTAATTCAATTCATATCACTTCATACAGAAAACAAAATCGAGCAACTTGCTCTCGTATTTAATTAGTTAATTATTGTATAATTATTAATTGACATTTTAAGAGCGCCCTTAATGGTCTTTTTTAAAGGGGAGAGTAATCGTATTTCATGTTACACTGATTCTTTGAAGTTTGAAATGCATCTGATATTTAATTTAATTTATAATTACAAAAATGTTATGATATCATTAATAATTTGTATGCAGATATAATGAACAAATGTGAGACTCGTCGTGTAGAATTAGACAGTTTTCTCTCACACAGAGATGATTTTCTGTTTAATGAAAAACAGAAAAAGAGTCCCCACTCGTCTTTATACTCGTTTTAAAGGAAAAATGAGATGCCTTTGTTTTTCAAAATATACACCTTATGAATGCATGTTTTGTGCTTAATCAAAATGAACTATATTTACAAGGTTGTTTACAGGTAATATAACTTTGTAATGAAAATAAGAAAGACGTACCAGATGAATAAAAATTGTTAGTAATATTTGCTCTTAATGTGAAAAATATGTCTTATTTTCACATGAAATCCTATATCATTTAAGCTTATGCCAAGATCTTAAGATAGTTTCATTATTTTTATAAACTGATTGATAAATATTGATAAAAAAAGAGTCAATAAACAAAATAGACTCATATAAACATATAAAACATATAAAGCTGACACATTTATAGAACTATACGAGTGTTTAGAGGACAGTCGTCGTGAAGACTTCAGGCCAAAACAAACTGATGAATGAGTTTAGACAGAAGGCCACCGGAGTAATTAAGACACGACAATTTGCTGAGATTTCCTATGATACTTTCTTAGATCTTGCCAAATTAGTCTCGATGTTCACTTCCAGAATTAATTGAATTACATGCTGACATTAAGAAAGACCCCGTTTGGCACCCATGTGACTTGCAGGTTAAATATATAAGGCCGATTCCCATCTAAATATTATCCAATTAAGGTTTTCGGTTGACGATATTCTCAAAGGATTCCAATAATTTTCTCAAACGACGTCACTGTACGTTGAAAACGCTCACGTGCTGAGGAAAGGTTAAAAGCAATTTGCGCGCGTTCTTCATTCCCATGCAGACGACATCGGATGTTAATTTGCTTTTGATATTTTGGTCGTGAGAGCGTTTGTCTGCTTTATTTGTACTTAATTCTCACACTTTAAGACCGTCTATTGATTTACGACCATTCCATTTGTTTTTATGTCAACCGATGCTGTATTTATGACGATTTAGGGTCGAATAGGGTCGACCTATTTTAAACCCACATGAACGCAAAGATTTATTTTTAGTAAGGAGCAAGATATTTAACAATCTTTGTTATATTATGCAAACAAATTACTAACAAAGAGAAAACACGTTCAGACTTTTCTTTTTAAAATTACTTTCAACAATAATTGAAAAAAATGCGCACACAAGTATAGATATTTCTATAATAAATTTAACGTTTGCATGCAGTATAACGTATTTGAAATACTTGTTAGACATCTCTTTCTAATTGGCAGTTCAAAATGAAGTTCATTAAATGGTCAAATACGTTTAAGAAATTCAATGTTTGATATTTATTTTAATATATGTTTAAATATTTCATTTTTTTCTAATTCAATATATTTACAAAATAATGTCGTTTTGAACACGGATCGACTGTCAGAAATAACTTTCCAAATTATTTTCTCTCCGAGAAATTTCCGTTGCCCATGGGAACTATAAATTATTATATTCCAACAGAATGATCATTGACGATGTGAAATTTGATTTCATAAATGGAGACATATTAGAACATTATGTCTCGCACGTCACATCGAATTCACACAAAACACGATGATTATGTTTTAGAGTTAGAAGTAATGACGATTAATTTGAAGCGAGGTTTTCTTTACCCCTGACAATAATTTATCCAACAAGACAACACTAGACAGTGAGATAGATCGCGGATACGTTGAAAAAGGAACAACAAACTAACTAGAAACATCTTTCACTAAGAACAAACATGGCAGACTGCACCATATTAAACATAATCACTAGTCTTATCTTAGTGGTTTTCTTAGGATATATATATATTTTTAATCAAATAAGTCTTCAACAGTTACAGAAATGTGCAAACTTTATATAAATAACGAGTACCTAGATATATCGATACTGATAAGTTAAATAACATTTTATTTCTCTTTAAATACAAATTAAGAACATTATTTTCACATAACAACAATTTTAACGAAGGACAAAAGTGTTGAACCACAAGTTCTAGCAACATTAGCAACTGTCCTTAATGTTGCTTTCTTGATCGATGTTCATATAGAAGAACATATTCTTCCATACAATATATAATAAAGTTTTATATAAACAACCAAAAATGGCAATATAGCAAATTGGAAAAAGTTTTTCAAAGTTTTCAAAGTTTTATTCATATCAAACCAGAAGGTCAACGACCCATGTGGCAAAATGCACAGTACATATTACAAATATGGTAATTTACATACTAGCATATAAGACCTGCATAAATAATATTAACGAACATATTTCCGTTTCAGTGTACGTAACAGTAAACAAAACTTATTTAGCAAAAGGTATAGAGTTTTGCATATATAACAGTTTACATAATTACAAACATATAGCAATGAAACTGGTGACAGATATGAATATAAACTGTCCAAAATACATAGATAACTAAGTGATTGAAGCAATTTACCGAAAATAAAGCATATTACGATTTTAGTATTACTGGTAACAATGATTCGCTGAATGAGTAAGATAATATATTATCGGAAATGGTGCCTGTTTTTAATCAAATATTTTATTTGTGAACGGTTATGCAAGGTCCGTTCTTAATATAAATACTTAAGATATCATTTTTACGCCAGTAAAAAAAACAACCACTGAATTTTGTTTTATTAAAGAATGACAATTTTTATTGTAAGAAAAGTTAATGTAGAGAAAATAAGAATCCCCATTGAAAATGTCGCAGGCTTGATTTAATTGAGCCTGTTCATGGACGGTACTGTCAAGTGCAAACTACCGTCCACGCACCCTAGCACCAGCTTAAGCAGAACATGAAATGGCAAAATTTTGAAGTTAGAAACATCCGCAAATGAACCTTCAATGTGACAATTCCGTGTCATTCCATGAAAAGCGGCGTATGGTCCCCAAGTTATAGAAAGTGTGTGTCCTAAACGAGAAAACAATAGGCGGAACTAAACAAAATGAAATTTTGAAAGAGAATCAAAGGTTATGAAAGAGGTTAAGTTCAACTTGAGTACATCTCATAGTTTAATTTGATTTCAAACTTTAAATTAGATGAGTTTATAACAACTTGACAAAGGTAGCTTTAGATTAAGTACACCTACCACGTTCTTTATTGTATTAAATAAAATACTATTTGTTTTACAGGTATGGTTCCAAAACAGAAGAGCGAAATGTAGAAAGCAGGAAAGTCAGATGCAGAAAGGTATATTATATAAGATAAAATTTTCTACGAAAGAGAGTGACGACGAATTTTAATAAGCGTTCTAATTCAAATTCAATTCAAATAGAGTTCCAGGTCTCTATAATGAACAAAAAGCCGGAATTTACTCGGTGTAATAAATACCTAATACAGGACTTGTAAAACTAACAAAATAGGAACCAACTCTAAATAGTATAACTATATTTATATATAACATGATATCATGTAATTGTCATCTCATCAGTCTATACGTTTTCGTTTTCGTCCGCATAGACTTTTGTCAAATGTGACAGATATGCCAACATAATGTTATAAGGATAAAAATTAATGCTGTAAGCAGTGTTTTTTTTTTTTATTTCTAATTTAAATTACTGTAATCTATGTGACATAATGATGTTTATCACAAGCACACGGATATATACCTTCTTATAATATTTGATTAAATATATACATGTTAACTATTATAAAAATTCAACTATTACATTCAAACTATATTGCAATCCACACAACGCAACCTGTATATCTGATACTAGTGACTTTCTTTTTTCTCTAATATTTGTGTGTTCATTTGATACTTACCTCTTGAGATATATATGATACCTTGATAAGTATACTAGTTAATTTTTGTCTGTACATTTTATACTTACCTCTTGAGATATATATGATACCTTGGTTAGTATACTAGTTAATGTTTGTCTGTATATTTCATACTTACCTCCTGAACAATATATGATACCTTGATAACTGTTTGTACATTTGATAGTATACTAGTTAACATTTAAGACAAAATAACACCTCATGAGACAAATTGTAAGTTAACATTTATCTTGTTATATTTGTTTTCTATATCTGATATAATTTATGTAGTTAATGTAAAATATTTCTAATGCATCTCTTCTTACTATATGAACGATGCTAAATTGGATATACTATTCTGTTAATATGTATTATACTTGTTTATGTATATATCTATGTTCACCTCTGTAAATATGTTATGCTCTTCAATATTGGAGGAAATAAAAGTATTTATTATATTATCGTAATGTTCGGTCCTGCGATCTTCTTCGTGGCCTGAAATCTTAATTAGAATTTTTTATCACATGGAGGGTACATTTCAAACAGGAACATAATCAAAAGATCATATATGTACATTTCGTTCATCAGCACAATATATTTTACACTACTGTAAATAATGTAATAATTTCTTGTTATATTCTGCTAGAAACTGCAACATAAAACACTGAAAAGAAATCCAACTTGTAGATCATTAAAAACTATTCATTTGTTTTTTGCAATTTTAAAATTAATACATGTACTATATATAGGGAACGTTTAATGCTTGAATACATGTACGTGTATTCTTAAGCAATTTTTATCGTATTAACAAAAAACGTCTGTAACTATAAAAAACTCCTAATTACAGTAATAAATAAAGTAAAATATGTGATAGTAGGAAAACTAATGATATAACTTACTGAACACATGCCCAGGTTTCGTGTCTTAAAATATCATGGCATCATTTCGTTGATTTCTGTTTTTTTACGTCACTTCAATTAGTATAACACCTCTTATAAAAAGGAAAGGAATGAGAAACCAGATCAGATGAAAGATGAAAATACTAGTATATTATAGTTAATTGAACATATTTCTAAATATTAAAAGGACTCAGTTGTGCGGATGTGGTTTTTTTTTATATTCGAGACTGAAAATATTTTTTCATAACATTTGGTCAAGAACTTGTCTGCAAAAATTCCAGATTTTTCACTCACTCCGTATTTCTAAAATTATCATTTTACTGTGCAAAATGACCTTAAAATAATTAAACAAATGAATAAATAAATAAAAAGAAAGAAAGAAAGAAAGAAAGAAAGAAAAAACGGCCCAACATTTTCAACTGAAATCGAACAGAGAACCGGTATAAATTATTATATCGAATTTACTTTAAATCAGAGTACATTTCAATATTTGTCTGTTTTAAGTTCTCCCGTTGATCTATGATACATTTTCAAAATTTATGTTATTAGGGTTTTGGATCTCAGTGTAGTTTCTTTAAGTTCTTTGTTACTTTAAAACGTAAACTTTTTCGATTTTCGACTCTTTTTGTTCTTTCCTTAATTACATGTGTATGATAAATTTATCAAACTAAAGAAAAAAAGTGTTCGACAAGCATTGCTTTCAATTTTATGCATTGCCTGATAATTTTATAAATAATGTATGATATTTTAATACAATAAGGTATGATATTTAAATGCCGTAAGTGCAATCTATTTATTTACAACACATGTAATGATTTTGTTTCAATTTGAATTAGATCAGATAGGACAGATATAAGCTTAAATAACATATAGTACAAAAACAATATCATGTTCAAACAATCAAAGAATTCTATGTAGCTGCCGACAAACAGGCGCGTTTATATTTATTTGCTAGGAATTATGCCAACATTAACAAGTTATATGAAGACAAATACAGTAGCAATGTGCCGACAACGACACGTCGGGCGCTGTATAAACTTCGTCCTTTTGTTAAATTACATTTATTTCTGTGAGAACGTGATTCAATTAGCACTTGATTCTTTTGAGGAAATTCTGGGGGCACACTATTGTGTTAATCAGCGGAGACTTTATAACAATGTTCAAGGAAATGGTAATGTAATATTAGGGCTCTACAACTTTATGCTTGATACTAAATAGAATTAATTTGTCGAATTTTCATCAGCCGTGTATTAAATTATAAGTTATTATCTAATTAAGTGATCATGGCTTTATAAAAGGAGAGAGCGGCACGGGAAATTACTCTGATAGACTGTATAAAATAGAAATGTTGTGAGATGTATTCAAGCAGATAATCGTATTAGTTAGTGTTCTTGTCAGACTACATACTTCATATATACATACAACGTTCAATTCCTTCCAAGTTTGATCATATTTAAGAACTTTTCCAAAGATATACATTTTTGTATTGAAATCATATATTGAATTATATATATTTCAAACAAGTTATTGTATACTAGAAGACATTTTATAGATAGCGAAACTGGTTGACATTGAGGTTATTTGAACTAAACGGTCATTGAATTACGTCAGTGTTGCCTTGAATCACCGGTATATAAAATTGACTCTGCTGAAAAGTTACAAATTATCCAGGGCTGTCATGAATACAGATTTTATTTTTAAATTTTTTTTTTAAGATCGAATATTTATAACCACATTTATCTGGCAACACGCTGACTTTGTCTACGTGTCTTTTATTTTTTTATATAGCTATAATTTATTTAACAGTATTGTCTCTGTGGAAGTGTTTTAGCGCAGTTGTCCACGGCTACATTACGGGAAAATAAATTGTAAAGCTATATTTAAAATCACATTTTATCCTCCCCATTTAACATCGTCTGCTCCCTACTCAGTGAGCAGAAAGTCGAGTAGAGATGTCTTTTGAAGAATAAATTGCCTTTTTTGTCTCGTGCATGTTATATTTCACTTGTTACCCCTATACTGAAAGAATGTTGATCAAATCTCGTATTTTAGTTCTCTTCAGCCGATTAATTGGAAGATCTAAATATTTACACACTGTGCTAAGACCAGTTAAGGTCAAAATTGAAATTATCACCGCCTTTCACCATCATCATTAGATCTCCACGTTGTATTATTTGCTTTATAATAACTCAGAATGATATATTTCAATTTCTAACAATTTCCGCCAGAGACTAAATTAACTAAACACAAATATTGTTTGGCGGAAAAAGATTAAACTATTTTATTTAGTTGGTTCTTCTTTAAAAAAGCAGGGAAGGTTCAGATTGGAGAAATTACGCCATAGAATATCAGGCTATTTGTACAAACAAATCTTTATGCATCTAATATCTTGTAATAGAAGTGTCATGTGAGTGATTAATTGGGGAAAAGGTTCGCCAATTGGGTACATTAATTCTCTTATGCTCTCTAACCTCGAGCGCCATATTATCAGTGATTTCTATTGAGAGAAGAGAACTATCCATATTAGCTTGTCAAAGAGAGGAAATTTCGCAACCTGATAGCGATACGTTACTGATATTGGCCGCAAATGTTCTACCAGTGTGTCCTTAATTGTCTCAAACTTTGATCGATTCCCGAATTAATTTATAGGAACTTGATAAAAAACACTCGAGAAAGCAAATTAAACAGTACATTTGACGTATTATGTTTAAATATTATACTGTAATATAAATACCAAAATGATTTACACCTTATATGAATTTGATCTAATAGTTTGTACGTTTAATATACTTTAGAATTTTGATATATGAGAATTTTAAAACGTTTTTCTTTTGTTCCAATTTGTTCCAAAATAGAAAAAAAAGCTTCTTTCTGCAAGAGGTGTCCTAAACATGATATTTTAATGTAATAGAATCTATTAAGTACATGGTAGGAGTTTTAAGCTTTTGAATGAACTGATAAATTGGTAAATGAGAACGCGGTTCCAAAACACTGATAAATTTACCGCCTACTTTAAAAAAAAAAGTTTTCGCTTACATTTATTGTTCGTGTTTGCTACCAAACATTTCATGTTGAATTTGACTGATATTTGAAATAATAAGTTTTAGCAAAATTATCTTGAGCCTATGATAGATAAACATGACACAGAAATTTTTTTAATATTATCAGTATAGTGTTTACTTAATTTGTTTTTAATGATTACAGAATGATTTGTAAATAAAATTATTTATAAGTCACGATTTCTATTATCGTCGGCACAAGGGTGTTTCAAATAAAAGACGTCATGGAACAAAATGCAACACATATATTATATACATGTATATCTAAAACGGGAATGATTATAAGTCAGAGCTTACTATGACTTCAGTCAGTAAACATATTTGGATTATCAATCATATGGACTTAAATATACACATTAATTTCTTTGTTTATTTTAGCGGGTATCATGCTGTCTTCCTCTGGAACAATAGCGCCTCTCGATGCTTGTCGTGTCAATCCGTTTGTAAACATACCTTCAGTGCGTGAACCATTAGATAGGCTACATTTTCCACCGTTCCTGCCGTACTTTCCTCTTCCATCAGCCTCGGGTCTTGCACCACCACTTCATCCTATGTTACTCTATCATCACCATTATGCTGCGGCACTAAACTACGCGGCTCTACCAGATAGTGGATTTAAAGCATCAAAAACGACAAGTATTGCAGATTTAAGACTCAAAGCTCGACAACATTTAGCCTCTCTTGGATTGCAGAATGTGTAAAATCTTACACTAACTTGTTGTTTTCCATCTTAGTTATTCATTCATACACACAAAATGTTGTATTGATACATTTTATTTGCTTTAAGATGTCATTAATTTTGGTGACAACGTTTCATTTGTAAACGTTATTGTTGATTTTTTTTTATGTAGCAGCAGCTATGGATTTGTCAGACAAACAGTTACGGGTGTGTGATATTATCTTTATAAATGACAGTAGTGTTGACGTAAAGCTGCACAGTGTAATAGACGCGCATGTTTCTATTTTATGTACAGAACATAATAATTATTTAAGATGTCTATTTGTACATTTTTAATTAAAAACATGTGTCCTATTTTATAAAACAAACGTTCATGAAAAACTGTAACCGTTTTCTTAACTGAAGGTTCAATTCTGTTTTGTAGTTATATTATATATACACATGGTTGAATTGATGACAGTTGTGCTTTTAAGTATTGTATATTAATTTATTTGTCGACACTTTGGAGGTCTGACACTGGTAAAAAAACGCATGTTGTCTTCCAAATTTCTCCACGAGTCAAAAAAGTGAAAATAAAACTGGACTTGCCAGCCATCAGCAATTGATTTTATCTTTTATACATTCAAGTTGTAATTTTCAACTGCACATTATTATTATACAAAAGTCGAAATCATTTTCGTTACTGTACAATATTCTAATTATACCAGAAATACACACGACACTTCAGTAATTGAAATGGTTAGATCAAGTAGATGCTATTTTCATATGAATGGACAATATTTTCATATGAAAAAAAAAACCCAATGCAAATAATGTATATTCAGTTGATGGACTGTCTTTGATCACCATTTGTTTAGAACCAATATTAATTCACTTGGAGGCAAGTACAAAAAACGCCAAACACGTTAATAAAATGTTATTTGTTCACTTTAATTAGATTAACCCGTTTAATGATATAAAAAGTGCATACCACCATCGTTATTTGGCACCAGTTAAAACAGAACATAATGTTTTTATCTTTCTACTGATAAAACGTTTACTGATTCATATTCAAATGTGTTTAAAGTGCAATTTTCTCCGACTTCAATATAATTATTTGTTTTTGATGCATGAATTATGTCGTTCCTTCTTTACAATTGGATTTTTTAAAATTATAATAGGGAAATCATTCTTCTGAAAAAAAATGTGTCTGCCACCTAAGGTCTTATATTTATTTATACGGGTCTTGTAAAGAAATGAAATCTGTGGGATTGTGTTGCTCAAGTGTGAATCATTTTCATCTAAGTTTCCCTTAATTTCATTAAAGAACTATTAGGTTCTTTAATTGTTTGGATTGTGAAGCATTATCACTGCTTTGTATATACGTCAGGCGCGACTTTCTCGCGATTCGGAGGAAGTAAATTGAACAAATTGATCTTAAATGAGTAATTATGATCCGACATTAGCTCTCTGTAAAGATAAATGCAGAAAAATACAGGCTGTAATTTGATTTGATAATGTGATGGCACTATTATCAGTGGAAAAGGTTCACCAAGGGAAAACACTAACTCTATCTTGTACATAATTTTGAAATATTTGTGTGAAATACTTGCATACTTAATTTGATTGAAGAAAAGAAAAAAGTGAAACGTCTTGATAATTCTCTGCAATATTGAATAGAGAAAAAGGTTACATTGAAATCAAAATGGTTTTAAAAGTCTTTCTCGTTTTTGTGAAAGTGAATGTTTTTAGTTTTTTTCCGAGTTAGAAATAACCAACGCTAATAGATTAGGAGTTACTATATAGATAAATAAAGAATAAACTGTGATGTATCTAATACATTGAGTTACCGCATATGTTTAGTGGACAATGGCATATATTTTATAAAACATACTACTACTTGTTTGTTTGAATGGGTTTTACGTCACACCGACACAGTATAGGTCATAATTATGGTGATGCTCCATGGCAGTCGGCGGTACCTCACGTGCATTATTTCAGGCACGAACAGGCACCTGAGTAGAATTACCGCCGTTCTGTAAGCTAGCTTGCTAGCTTCCTCACATGAACGAATCCAAAGTCCTTGTCGGGATTCTAACACACAGCGGTAAGGGGCAAGTGGTTTGAAGTCAACGACCTTAACCACTCGGCCACGGACGCCCCACTACAACTAAATATATGGCATATATTAAATTATTGTTCATTTTAATTTAAAGCAGGAAAACTAATAAAGCCAGATATTCAATTTAATAATGGTTTATTCGAATTATAAATTATCACTTTACTAGTATAAACAAATTCAATTCTGTAAAAACTAATACACTTAAGATAAATAGACAATGAAATCAACACTGATTAAACAGTCATCATAATTATAGTAGATCTTATAACGTATAGGAATAATAATAAAAATTCATTGCAAAAAAAGGAAGATCGTATGGTGGCACAGAGTTGACATTTGCGGAATTATTTTATCTTGTGGGCACAAGATATTATCTGCCTTGTGGTCTGACTTATTATCTCTGAGCCACGACTTATTTTAGCCAATGAAAATGGTCTTTCAACTTCAGTAGAGACATCGACATAAACAGTTAAATAAAGAAATTTTAATTAATATATAAGTAATTATAATCATAAAAATTTTCATTATTCGTCTCATCTCATAAACATGTCAAAGAAATATCTGACTTGACTAAGTCTTTATTAAGAAAAGTATTTGGATTTTCATTCAAGAACACCATATTAGACAGAAATAATTGCGTTTGTTCATTGACGACCTACAAAAATTGTAATTCAATTGTCATTGATGCCAGCACTATTAAGTGTTGAGAAATGAGTACCGCTGAAGCCGGTGCTAGGGGGCGTGAGGGATGTTGCGCTTATTCATTATCCCTGATGTACAGCCTCAATCAAACCGAATCTGCAATTTTCGTGTAATTTTATTGTGATTAATGCTTCCGAGGGATCACTCTGTATTATGTATTTCGCGCTGCTTAGCGGATATGGTTTACATCATTGCAAACCTTTGACTAAAATTATGTATTCATTTAAGATATCAGTTCCTATGTATAAATGGCCATGCTTTAAAAGTTATCTTAATCATTTAACTTAAATACTTGACACACACGCTCACAAAAGGTTTAGCTTAGTTTGTGTTTATCTTACTTTAGGTGAGGTCACAATCGTGCTTTTGGAATGTTAACAAACAGAATAAAAAAATATCTTAAATAAAATTGAACAGGCATCTTTCAATGTAACATATCTTTAATAATAATTATCTAGATACAAAACTCTAACGGGATTCGAGTCTGTCTACGACATGGGGTTGGGGGTAGGTGGTAGGGGAGGGACATGGGTGGTGGTGGACTGGATGTTATTTTTTTCCACTGATTCTGTGGCGCAGCGTTTGACCCGCCGCTTCCTCAAAATCTGTGGCTACAAGATAAAATAATTAAAATATTGCATAATGTCACCTCTATACTACCGGACAACGGGCCAGGGTGCTTGGGCAAATAAAAATTGTAAAGTGATCAAAATAAATGTTAATATGTTAGTAACTGTATGACATAAATATAATATATAATAGATATAATATAAAATGTGTATATTTTAACAATATTACCGTAGTCACACATGTGGTCTGACTTATCAGAGCAAAGGTTGTTATCTTTTTAGAACAGTTTATCTTAAGAAATTACAGGGTCAAGGCTTTGTGATATACTATCACAACGATACAAATCATAAAGGTAATAAGTTTTAGACGTTTTTATTGTAGTTATTTTATTAAATTTAGCTAGCTTTATAATATCGAATTATATTCATCAATTTGTGATATTCATATTTCCAGTATAATACATGTATGTGATTTTATATATGTGAGATTATTAAGGAATTTGAAGAAAATTTTACATAATTTCGGTAAGGATATACACATCACTAGTAAAACATTAATGAAATTACCCATCCGTATAAATATACTTGTTTGCATTCGCTGTAAAAATTGAATAAAAATCATACCTTGTTCGGTTCAGTAATTTCACATGTTTAGATTCTAAAATTGTGTTTATGTAATCAAGTGCCTCTAAAAGGAAATTATCTGTTATTAATTATCATGTTGTATACTCTGCATCATAACATTTCTATTACTAACTTAACATATAATTCACAAACGTGACTTTATTTTATACATCCTATTTCCAAAGTATGTATCGTTAAAATCCGTATTGCGTTGCTTTCTTTGATAATGCAAAAATACAATGTAGTTCTAGCTCTACCGCTAGGGTGTATCAGAATAATTTCTTAAAGCCTGAATATAAATGCATGTATTATAAGTGTTTTTTCTTTCAGATTATAGATACTCTACTTTGGCTGGCCACAATGATGATTTGGAGACATATTGTGGTTATATTTGGAATTTTTTGTGTCACAAGCGCAAAATTTACTGACCTTGAGAACTTTATACGTGTAATCGGTTCATTGAATTCAAGTGATTCGGCAATAAGTTATCTAAATGGATCAGTATACGGTAAGCAACCTGGTACAAATCTGCAAAAACTATTTAACTTTGAAGGTTACAACATAAACCGGAAATTACGTCAGCAAGATGGTAGCTTCCTTTCGCTGTCACGTGAGTTTGTTGTTTATCGGCAACCAAACACGTCTCAGATTCTTCAAGTTTGGATCAACAAATGGACAAATAAAGCCAACGAAATTTTCTATGTGGCAAATGATCCGGTAAATGCTGTTTTGGACAGCCCCTCACCGTCACAGACACTACCACATTACCGACCGCAATATTTGGTCTACAACGCCGATATTGTTCTTGAATACCCTAACCCTTTGTCGCCAGACAAATACGGCAATTACTCGGCTGGACCTATTTATGATTCTGTCGAACTGTTTGCGTTCTTTGCTAATTACATCGATCTATTCAATAGAACAGATTCAAGTATTCCGATGACTGGTACCTGGATGAGAAAATCTGAATACTTGCCATGGATGGAAATGGCCACAACAGCTGGAGGTCTTTATTATACAACAATGGCTTGGAAATGTAATGAAGGTGAAGGACTAAGTTGTGTTGCGGATGATATCATGCAATTAATAAAAAAGTACTATCCAAAATACGAGTATGCCCCAAGCAAAGAAGAGGAGCCAAATGAAACGTCGTGGACTGTCTTTAAGAAAGTTGTTGACCAAAGAAGAGAAGCAGGTCTTCCAGATATAATCATACCGGAAGTTAACACTACAAGTAACAGCCGAACCATGTCTAATGATGTCGACGATCGAGTTCTTAACTTGCTATATTCATGGCCATTAAGCATGGCGGTAAATGGGTCAGCATGGTCAGAAATCCCGGGAAAACAATCCATTTGCTTGTTTAATATTAATGGGAACTTCCAATTTGATCTTGAACATTTACCTGAATATAATGGATATCGGGTTCAGCTTGATGGTTTTTTAATTGTTCGGGATCCAAAAACTGGAATGATACTTAAAAATTTTACAAATCCTATCACTGGTAAAAATAATACATTGCCAAAACCAATAGTTGGATTAGATTTTGTTTTTAGCAAGGACTCATTTTACACGATGGACATACCGTCATCGAAAGTTGTTGGGCTTCTTGGCGCACAATCAAGCGAAGGTTCTCACAATAGTTGGTCGGTTAATATGATCAATCTTATTTTTCCGTATAGTGAGCTGAGTAAATCCCCGCCATCAGCTCACTTTTACGGGACTCTTGGATCTTTCTCTAGCTGGCCTACTTGGATGGAAATGGATGATGTTCCCGGAAATATTGTTGTAAAGCTAACCGTTTCAAAATAGACATTGAGTACTGTAATAGTAAACTGAACTTGACTCCAAAGGCATTCAGATTCGGATAATTTTAATAGATTGTAAACCGAAAACAAGTTTCGAATGATATAAATAGTCTTTAAACTTTTGATATCCAATTGAATAATAGAATGGACACAATATGACACTATTACAATATACATGTACTACAACAATGTTATAATGTATTGAAGGAAATACATGTACTATCACAGTATTGCAAAACCTGGAATACCCATATATTAACCGTACATTTACACATATATATATTATCATTAAATTTATATTCAATGTCAATGCAGTTGTTGTTATTTATACAATTGGGTTTATCTTTTAATGATCTAGTATGTGTTTGTTGTCTATCATTTCCATGAGAAAGAACTATTCTTTGATCGGGTTAAACCAATATTGAGATATTTTGCTCATCAAAGAACATACTCCATCAATGCAAGTGTAGTTTTATTTATTATCACAATCATGTATTGCATTGTGTGCTTTTGAAATACCGTTTGTTGAGTCTTTTGTCATCAAGGCATAGCTTATATATATTTCCGCAAAACTGGTCTTACTTATGTCACATTTGTTTGTATCTACTGAACTATTAACTCGTATCGATTACTCTGCTAGATATTAATTCACCCACGTACCTTAGTAGAGAGAGCATCGCATTTGTAATATAAGAGTCGCTCTGGTTCGATCTTCTAGCTAGGCGCAGTTTCTCACCGCTAATCTAGAAATCATGTGAGGTTGGTAGTCGGTCGCTTGTGGTGTGTGGTTAGGCGGCAGTTACGCATATAACAGTTTATACTGCAAACTTTATTTTATTTTGGACAAAAAAAGAAAGAAATTTATTCATTAATCAACTGCACATTATATAAACGTCACGCTTATCCGATGAAAAACGACTACAAACGTGCAGTATCATGAAATTACTTATTTTTAAATTTGCTATATTAAAATATATTGCATCGACATGCTATGACTAAAAAAAACATTATGTTTTAGAGAGAAAAAATATACGTATGTACTGTTTGTATTTGTCGAATGTCGGCATCAATTGATATCGACGACGTCCGTATCTTCGGGCAGTTTACCGTTTATATATATATTTTATATAATTATGTTTATAAATATACAAAATATTACATCACAATTCTTTAAATTTCATTGCTGTTCACATACAAGTATTTAAATACAAATAGTTAAAATATTAAGATATCATTACCCAGCAAACAAAAGACGTTGTACCAACGTTGTACTGACGTTGGGTAAACGTTGGCAGAAGGTTGGATTTGAAAGTTTTTAGACGTCAGAAACCGACGTCTATACAACGTCATAAAATGACCTTTATCCAACCTTTTCTGACCATTATCTGACCATAATCAAACCTTTTCTGACCATTATTTGGACATAATCCAACCTTTTCTGACCATTATCTGACCATATGCCAACCTTATCTGACCAAATTTTCTGACCATGATTTAACCTCATTCAAAACTTTTGGAATATGATTTTTTTTTCATTTTGAAGCTCTTTAATAGGGTTAATAAATAAGCATTCTTATAATTTTAGCAATTTATTTTATACTCGGAATCACAAGTACAAAACAAGAAATTTGGTGCTAAAACAAATGCAAGATTTACATAATATTTTTTGAAACTATCAAACTTGCCGGTATGTACTTTAATAACGCTTCATGTATTAATTAAGCATGTTTTAGAAATAAGATAAACAAAATCCTTCTTGAATATTAACACTGACATTTTATATAGCAAACATCCATGCATGTGTTTTTTCTTATATCACCACTGAACTGATCACTCTGAGTTTGGAATTTTTCAATCATCTATCCAACTCACTGATTGTATATTTGTCTTTGTATTTTATAACTAAATCTAGATCTGAATGTTAAATGGAACAATATTCTGAATATTTCGTTATAACTATAAATAGCAATGTTAATGTATCTTCATTAGTATCCTAGCTTCTTTCGTCCTACACTATGTCGATCTGGGGCATACTATAAGCGTATCATTACCGTCTCCAACCTGAGATCTCATCACACTTTCTGAAATTAAAAAAAAAAAATAATCAGTCACAAGTGCAAGAAATATATCACTTAATATACATATTATAATTAAACGAAATTCTAACAAACTACTTAAAAAGATACTTATTATTTTTAATTTAGTTTAAACCATGTAGTTTCGTGTACCTAGTATACGTGAGACACAGTTCCATCGGAACGAATATCAATCAAAATAATTTTCTTTTCCAAAAGTTAAACGAACGACGACAATGTGTTTTTGGAAATTTCACATAAAATTAGACTCTGATCAATTGATAATTCAGCTTACACCACTGTGAACACAATCTGCGTACTACTGTTCTTGTGTGTAATACTAGTTTTTCTTGTATTTGTTTATTTCTTATTATCATATAAAAATGAAAAATTATAACAACATCAATTATTGTTTATTTTTTCATTTGTCAAATATTAATTATTATATTGATTCATATTTTGTGTACAACTGTCCGTAGCCAGCTTTCACTCTTTAAAATTACGATGCACAAGTCTTTGTAAATCAATCATTGATATAAGCCAAAATAACATGGACTAGCGGCGGACTCTAAATTGTGTCAAATACACGAGAAAACGCTTCTGAGAGCATCCTAGAATAATTTTTTTCCGGGGGAACATGCCCACGTTCCCCTTAGAACCACCAAATTGGCTGCAAGAATCACAAAATCGTGACGATTCAATTTTGTCGTTTCGCGCGTTCTTTATCTCTCTCTATTTAAAGCAGAACATGGTAATGACGAAATTTGAAATTAGAAAAGTAAAGGTCAAGGTTTGTAAAGGTCATATAGCGACTTTCCAGCTTTACTGATTTAGCAGGTGCATTCCGTGCACTATTTCAGACACGAACGGGTACCTATAATTATAAGTAGAACCGCCATCTTTCCGTAAGCTAGCTGGAAAACTTTCTCACATGCAAGAATGGTCTGTAGACCATTTCATTGAAGCAAATTTAAAGCTCTCCAAAAACTGTTTTAATGCATCACAATAGAAAAGGTTAGAACTTATACACGCTCCTGAAGAATAAAATAAAAGATGGATTATATTTACCAATACTAGGAGTACATGTATAGACTTAGAGGTAAAACATATCATCAGTTGAACCATAATATTATGTGGACAACCCTTATTTACATCACAGGCAATATTTATATATATGAATATTTATATATATATTTGTTTTGGGTTTTACGTCACATCGACACAGTATAGGTCATATCGCGACGTTCCAGCTTTACTGGTGGAGGAAGACCTCAGGTGCCCTTCCGTGCATTATTTCAGGCACGAACGGGCACCTGAGTAGAACCACCGACGTTCCGTAAGCTAGCTGGATAGCTTTCTCACATGAAAGAATCCAAAGTCCCTGTCGGGATTCGAACCCACAGCGGTGAGGGGCAAGTGGTTTGAAGTCAACGACCTTAACCACTCGGCCACGGACGCCCCATATATATGAATAAATTGACCCTTGGAAAAGAAGTAGACCGTCGGACTATACAATATATACCCTCAACACGAAAAGTTAATTCCGCCATATGGAGTTTTGCGCAATTGAGGCTGTGCCTCACTGGGGCCAGTCGGAATTGGCGAGATATGAGTTTATTTTTAACAGAGACTTGAAAAAATATACATATTATCCAAATTCTTAAACCTCGTCAATATCCAATCAGAGCAGGTTTTCTAGACAACGAAATTTTAGCATATTTGATTTTCGTATCCTATCGGACCTTTTCATTTTAATTATTTTTAATAAACTTGATATATATTAATGGACACAATTCAGACTACAGAATTAAGTAAATTAAACATGAGCAAATAAGTAATGATTTACTTTTTATAACTGTTATAATTATAATAGTGTTACATGTATTTTGTTAAGTTTACTTGGAATGTCGTAAAAGAATATTTTCTAGTCTTCAAGCTAGTGTTCCTGTTCACCTACGACGAGTTTCGGTATTCTTGAAAGATACGTGCTTTCAAGATTGATAAGCTATCTAATCAAATCACTTCCTTGCTCTTACTCAGAACAGAGCAGAACATACTCTTTATTTGGAAGACACAGGTTTCAAAATATTAAATTCTGAAGTAATTTCTTTTCTTTGTATGAATTGTGTTTTTGTTTTTTATTTTATTTATTATGTGGATGAATATACTATTTCATTAAACATGCGAATCATTATCATGGTATGAATGGAGAAGTCTGGTGCTTATCAACAACAAAAAGATAGGGTTCCACGAAAACTTGAATACTCTCTATGTAATAAAGTGCACAGATGAGGGGAGATAATAAAAAATAGCTTTACCTCACATATATTGTTGCATTTACTCCCCTTTAATTAAAAGTAAGCCAATTGAATGTATTTGATTCGAAGGAACTATATTCTATCGTGGACTTGGACTCAACCAGAGCACGACCTGGAGCGCAAGAACATAAGATACGTCGGAATATAATGATTGTTGTATAAATATGTTGTATGTTAAAATTTATAAAGCGGTTACTGGTATTTCACTACAAATGATTTTAAAAGGCGATTATTTTAAACAATGGTTTACTAGTAAAATTGTCTTTTTGACACCAACTTTGTTCTCATTTTTCAAGACAATATGTAGATAGTGATCAGTAAGTAAATAACATAAATCATTTTTTTATAATTACAGAGGATATTTCACGCTTATTTTGAGACGAACCCTAAAAGAAGTCAGTATGGGCGCCGCCATTTTGAAATGGACGTCACGTCAGGTTACAACGGGAAAAATATATTTTAAAACATATTTTTAAAATATTACTGACTTCTTGAGAAAAAAAGAAAAACATGCCTAGAGGTATTGACGCTAGGGTTAACATGACATTGATTTAAATGATTTACCATTATATTTAATAAAAAGATGAAATATTCAAATTTGGTGGGACCAGGTACGTATATTAACGTTAATATACGTACCTGGTGGGACACACTACGGTCCTATTTTTCTAATGATTTTAATAAATAAAATAACTTTGTCTTACAGGATGATTAAGTAATAATTTATATTGTTTCTTTTTGCATACATTCTTCTTAAAGGATAGACACTACAAATGTTTTAAGTTCAAACAATTACTTTTATATTTACCATTATGACATATTACGCGAGTGTTTGTAAAATGTTTCCCGTGGATGTCGGGAAGTATTAACTGTATTAGATGATAGGAATAAAAGCATAAATATTCATCTTATGTATGCATTCA